AAAAATTTCATCAGAGATATGTGAATCATTAGGAAAAGCCATACCTGGTACAATGACATGAGAATTTTGACAAATTGATCGATTGGAAATCGTTGTCTCACAAGAATTCTGAGTTTCAATCAACTCCGAACTGCTATATGACTGTACACTGTCTATTGCAATCGTTGATAAAGATAAATCATCATTAGAAATACTCGACTTAGTAGAATCAGAATAACAAGGCTTAGTATTACAGACTGACTGAATATGTCCAAAATCACCACATTTAAAGCACTTAGACTTACGAAATTTACATGAATTAAAAGAGTAGAACAAACATTGACCAAACTTGTACCAGTCTTAGCGAAATGTATTGCAACTCCTCAATGAATTATCTGCACATCCTTGAGTATGCACTGGGTTGGGACGACGTAATGTTGTGGAATTTTTTATATTCTCATGAATCATTTTACGAGATCTCCCTCCTTTACCATAATCGAAATTTGTATAATTAACATAGTCTAGCGGCAGTTCCTTGAGAGTTGTATAATGAAGCGAGATAGGCTTTTCCGGTAAAGTCAGAGTTTTTAATATGCTATATGCTTCTTTTCCGACAAATGTGTAGCGTGGCGTCGAGTGGAAATTGACTATGAATACCGCTACAGAGAAACGCGTGCCAAATGACTCAATAAAATCCCGGAGAAGCCAAATATCAGAAGGCAGTTAATGGACCAAATCGAAATATATTTGCTGGCGATCTCGTGGTGTCGAAAAGATACCGAGATCGTGCCAGGATACAAGCTTAGTTACAGAACGTAACCGGATCTGCGCAAAGTCACAATCCAAGTGTGTAAGATTAATGGATGCTTTTTAGCATAGTTAAACAAAAGCACATTAAAACAGTCAGTGGTACAATTGGTTACAATAATAATTGTTTTCAATAAACCAATCGTGTTCTCGTGATAAAGGGGAGTCACTACAAATGTGAGGAAATGTACCACAATATTAACATCCTCAAAATCTTCCTTGGTCATAGCCTAGATTTCGAACCTTTCAAAATAATCCTCTAAAGCACCAAAATCTGAATGTATATCCAACGATTCCATTACAGCATCTTGGTCGCGACACCAGTATAATATTTGAAAGTATTTGAATTATCGTATGAACTAGGAATCCCAGAATTAATGCAGTTGAATAAAGAATTACGACACGAGCACAAACGAATGTATTGTAATTAGAATTCGAAATCGAGCATTCAACAAGTACAATAGAATCATTAGTTAATTCAAACACCACAGTATCATCAAAAAGCAGGTTATATATGTCATATGTCAAAATTAGTAGTTCCGTGAATACTTGAGGGATTGGGTAAGGTAGGAAGTGTTATGAGAAAGAGTAAATCCAGTAGTTTAGTCGGCATTTGTAATATATTAACCGTTGCTGGCAGAGAAGCCGGAGAACCGCAAAATTAATACCTGACTACTGTTGACCTTAACATCTAATAGAAATCTGATATACATCCTGAGAGCTGGACCAAGAGGGCTATTAGGCTTACATAAGAGACTGATTAGTCGTTATAATTCAAGTTATTTCTTATATCTAATGGACGTGTAATATGTCCTAAACATCAGTCTATAGTTTTTGTGGTTTCTTCGTAATTTTTGGGGAATCAGTTGTCACTAAACATGCCTTAATGGCCCGGTATCTGACTCCCGTTGGATCGTATGAATGATTGTTATTTGAATACACATGTCATCTATCCTTAGATAAAGTTATCGACTTAATCCGCGTTAGTGAAAAACGGAATTAAATAAACCAAATACGAGAATGAAGTTTTGAATACGTATATTTTGTACACCCGATGATTTGAACAGGCAATCAGGGAGACGAAACAAAGGGGGAAGAGCGAAGTAGATTGAAGAAGACAAGCGAGACAATTCGATTCAATCAAGCGTCAATCAATATTTATAACCTGATAGAAATAAGCTACAGACATGTGATGAGTAGGATAAGATGTACACACACGCTCATCTAGAAACAGCCAGAATAAATAAGCCAGTAAGTGATAAGGTCAAAATGTGGTTTAAGAATAAATAGATTGGCTTGTCCGGAAGCTAGAATAAACAATGTGAGTTTAGCATAGCACATGACGTTACATTACTCCCCACAATGCTTCCAGTGTTTTTCCGATGTTCATATATATTTATCTCTGGTAAATAATCAGTTATATAATTTTTGTCACCCTTTTAAGCATTGGTCGTATCACAGTTACTAAAACTGGATGTTGCACAAACAGAATTATCAGCTGTATTATCTGAACCACTGACAGAACAATTGTTTGTATTCCGATAACAATCAACATACTTGATTTCATTTTTAGCCAAGAAAATCTTTCCGTGATCAGTTTCACAGTAGTGCAGACCCCTGGATGAGATAATGAGTGGAGACAGTTAAAACCCATCTTCCTGTACACAAGTGGAATGAATGGTCTGTGTTAGTACAACCAAACAATTATTCCCGTGTTTTACCATTAATACAGAGAAATAATGAATATTGAGTATAAATGGGGCTACATATGAAGTGTTACAAATAAAGAAAATGTGATCATTATTTTGCCGTTATAAAAATCATTGAATATAGTCACTATACATTCTAGTCCATCATCAAGGAAGCGAAACCCATATTTACCCAGTCCTTATAACTTTGTAAAGTTGATGACCTCAAAATGAAGAGGAAAGAACAGTGCATCCTCAAACTCTCTAATAAGCGTAGAAAATTCAAATGACAAGTTATTTTGTTATTTGAGCACAAAGCAACCCTGGTTTATTCATATATTTCGATCTCTAACATATCTCTAAAGGAGACACATGTTAATCAATGAAATATTCTATCTTAAAAATATAAATTAACAGATCAGACCACTTTGGGCTATCGAAAATATATACACTCCGGTAAACATTTCTTTTTCGTTATGAGCTGTGGGTTTAAATTTTATAGAACTTTTGGTTAAATTCGACAAATATTAAGATTAATATGACTGTAAAAGGTATATATACGTAAGGAAGCTCGTTAAGCAAATGGTAAATTGACCAAACTCAATGGGATAGTGATTTAATTTCATCGGGAATTGACCACCATATCAGTAAACAATTGGGTGCTCATTAGTGAATAGCCTCAGAACCACTAAATCAAAATTATGGCTAGGATCTCCAACATGCGAAATCAACGTTCTATGTAATTACCCAGTAATGGTATTTGATGACGATTACATTATACTGCAAACCGATTAAGGTTAGAAAATGTGGAATACTGGATTACGACTTAATGGTTGAACGATACCATATTTATTACCAAATTCTGGACTCTACATGTACAATACTAACGAATCTCACCAATGTGCGGTTTCAATTGGTTTTCAGTAGTTCCTCACATGATCTTAGATATATTTTCGAATGGTCTTTAAAAATCAGCTCGGTTGATAGCGATTATATAATAAATAAAACTGATATATCATAAACTTTCAACATTTTCCAAAGGGATCCGATCCCGTCTCCCACATATAGCAGTGGCTACAGGGATCAGAACACATAACCCTAGTCTACCTATTCAGGAGAAATTTGTGAGACCCCTGTACCTTCTTCGGCTGTTTATGACTTAAAAACGATTTTACTAATTTTTCACGTCACCTATCTGTGTCGTTTTTTTACCTCTTTTCGTATACATTCCTCACTATCTAGTTATTTACACACTTCCTATTACGTGATTTCAACGATGTTTCGTGATTGTTTGTTTATACAGGTTTGACCTACTTTATATGCTGAACTATTGACTAGGGTCTTTGTTTTATCATTCTTATGACAACTAGTACCGTGGCTCACCACTCTAGTGGTTCGAGATTTGACTCCAATCCGGGTGAGCGTATGACTAAGCCATGAATATAAATATTTCATTCAACCCTGTATATTACGTTTAGGCTAACCCTGCTTGAGCGACGTGGCTAACAAAGAGCCAAATATGAATTAAGCGAGATGAACTTATTTCAGGCACTCGTTTACTTAGACATACATTAAGAATGAGAAACAAGGAAACGAAGTGTAGATGAGAACGCAAACGTATCAACTCCATTCACTATTCATAGCAATAAAAATGTGATGAATGGGGTAAGCGATACACAAACATGCTAATGTAAAAACAGCTAAGGTTATAGGCGTATAACTGACAAGGTCAAAGCGTGACTTAAAAAGAATAAATTATTTCATCTGTCCGAAAGCTAGAATAACTAATGTGGGTGTGACAGTACTAGACATCACACTAGTACACTTGCGTTCTTCCTATTAATTCATACCTTTTACCCATTGTGTAGTTATGCGACCGATTTAATTCTGGTCATTAATTCATAAATTGCCTTTATTGACCTCATATTTTCATATAAATGTTTATTTATATTAGAGTGGAGCCTAATGACGACCTGATTGAAAACAGTATATTCGCTTATATGTTGTTCTATCACAGGTTTCTCAACTGATTGACGATATTTAAACAACCACCAATTATTACACATTGATATCCACACTACAATTTAATGTTGTCCACTTACATTGAGATGAAAATGGTTATTTTGGCTAATTACAACGGTTTTATTTATGCCAGTATCGTTATAAGCTACTCGTTTAGTACACTAAGAATATAGTATTTACCATCCCAACCACTTAATATTATGGAAGAACAGTGTTCTTTGATAACATTGTCGTTCTAGACAATATCTTTAGTGCCAAATTGGAGTCAACTGTGATTTCCCAATATCACTGCTAACTTTTTCACTACAAATCGAATCCTAATACACTTTGATTACAAAATTAAATAATCTTACAGTTGAAAATCTTGTTACCCCAACCTAAGGCAAAGTCACACGAGTAATTTGAGTCACCGACTAATTCTAATCTCAAATTACAGAATTCATCTTTGGAAATGCCGCATCAGATGAAAACATCTACATTTCAATTTAGAAACAAAAGTCTGTCTATCAAGCAACTTTCTATTCAGCAGAGAGAACAATGAGTTATTACACAATAGTTGAAGAATGTCTCTTGTAGAAATGAAGTATCCTGATTTAGGAAATATTGAATCCATAAAATAATATAAACAGATCAATTACAAAGTTACTGTACCATGTTGGGGAAGTGTTCATACACCAATCTAAAACCAGAAGACAGAATATTACTTGACGGCTTGACGGTGTTGAGGTATACTACTGTGATATAGCAGATCTTCGCCAGAAACACACAATCGGTCTAAATCTATCACAGATCTGAAACAAAATTATTGTCATTTAGACATTTATACCCAAAGTCAAGTTTAATAGTATGCAACATAATTAAATAAAACTTAAACCAGTTTTAAAAAAAGCGTACTTTGTAGGTTTATATAATACATGATACAAATCTATCAGTGCTAATCTGTCTATTACTTTGGTTATGACCGATCAACAAATACGATATGTTAGCTAAGCTAGACGACGTGATTATCGTAACCTATGGTTGGAGACTCGTGGAAACATGGCTCAGAATCGATCACAATGGCATCGGTGTATACACTCTCTATCTTCCCTCAAACTAAGAGATTAAAATCGCTTCTTATCTTTCTTTCTACGAACTAAATCTTTCTTCCTGTACTATGTCCTTATATGCAATCTTTCTTTTATATCTTACCACCACTGAATTAACTACTATGAATTCGGTGTTCATCTTGTTGTGCTAATGCGGTATGGCAACTTGGACCGATGCACATATGTGCCTGGTCCTACGTTGTAGCTGACTGACTGAACACCAAGTAAACTTCGTTGGTTAATTCTGCCTGACCGTCCTCCACTTTTAGGAACTGTCGAATTTATACATAAGATATTTTAATATATACTTAAGCATTTTAACCAACAAACCACTGATAACGACAAAAATAGTGACTAGGTTGTGTTTTAGTTTGATAATTAGATTTCAATGAAACTGTCTATTTACCGATGACACTTCCCATCAAAGTGAATCGTTCAAGAGTAACAAATTTAAAACACCATATGAAATAACTCTGTTGTTAAAAAAACTGAAAGCAACTTTAATTAGACTGATGAAAAACTTGTTTCTGACAATGTCTGTTAGAGTACCTAAAACAAGAAGTGGACCCAATTCATTTACCCTGTATCAAACTAAACAGTAATACAGTTGCATACGATAACTCTGTATTTTATCGAGAATAAACATCATAAGATGTCCAGTTAAACCGCTTAACGCTGTGAACTTTTCGGTATACTCATCTAACGAAACTACGTCACACATACCGAATAAGTAGGTCCACAAATCTCGAACATTAACGACCACTAATTGACACAAGTAATAAAAAATATTTATAAGTGAACTATATAGGGGGTAAGTATTGAAAGCTATGCTTACTCAGCCTCGAAATATTTCGACATACATAGCCTGCGTAGACCACCAACACCCTTCGATGAAATCGGTGTGACTGTTTTCATAATGATCACATCGGTTGGTTCATCAGCGGAGAGATAATTCTCATCTGTATTGTCGACATTCACAAACTGGATTTGTCTAAAAATGTACAAAATTAACATGGCCATACATAAAAATATATAAAGTCTACCTGTCAAGCTTTTCTTCCCAAGATAATAGTTTCAATTTCCTCTTTTTATATTTCATCTCAGTTCTAGTGTCGAATAAATACTGTCCGTAGCCCAATTGGATAGAATTTTTTTTCAATTTATACAGAGTTTACGACATGAACCAAAGAAAAAAAGACAACAGACATGGATAATTAGACACTTAACTAGCCTCGTCAGATTAGTTGTTTGCTTGCTAGAGTAGCATTGAAAATAAGTTATTTTTTACCTCCAAACCACTCAGGCTTAATAACTGGCGTCTGATTGAGTATGTAACTCATTATACTCCCAATAACCGAAATATCTACACTACGTCTTCTTACATATGCAAAAATAGCCCACAGGAATGATACCTATGTCGTTCAACACTGTTTCTTATTGATTCTTCTAATAATCGTTTTAAATTATTCCCATATACCTGTTATAACCAGTAAAAATACAGATGACAGCAGTCTGAACTATATGAGACCACAATGTGTTTGTAATACAGAGAAGAAACTTTTTTTTCTTTTGTAGAACACTGTGAATGTATGTAATACACTCACATTTACCATGTAAAACAGTAGACAGCAATCAGCAGTAACGCAAGCCTAAACAGCTGTAGCACGTACTATTAGCGTTTACTTGCAAGCAGGAGCTATCTGAAACACAACACAACAGTCAGGACAGGCAGATACCACTCAAATAAGTACACGGCGTACGAGCACAATAGAGATATATTTAAAAATGGGATTACGTGGATTAAGTACAAAAAAGGAAGTCTATGACAAAATGGTTTTACTCATTATCCTGCAGGTTTAGCCTGCGCAAGGCTTGTTTTTTTTCTTCTTCTAGTACGTTAACTTTCTGTTGCCCTGCAATAAGGAAAACAAACTCGCATTAGTAAAGTCACATATAATGATTTCCGATACCGCTACACAGCTGTTAGTTGAAAATTGCGCGCGTCCCTGAGGATTGCTTCGAATTGTTCAAATGGTTGTGCATGGAATAGAAGAAACTTTCGCTTAACAGGCTTCCGTGTCTAGTAGAAGTGGATCACCAATACCTCCGAGCAGGAACCCAGGTATATTAACGATAATAAAGGAATAAAAGAAACTGGTAAATCATAATAAGTCGTTAATCTTACTCCTTAAGAATTGGCCAAGTTTCTTATTAAAAGGCTCCTTGGAAGTCCCTTGGACTAGCTCAGCTGGCAGCGAATTCCAGCATTTGACAACTGTTAAGGAATAGAAGTTGTGTCTACAGTCCGTTCTGCTGTGTTGTGTCTCGAGTTTTTTAGTGTTACCTCTTAGGTTTGTATTGAGACTAAGCTCAAATAAGTGCCCATATCCTTTTGGAGTGAAGAAGAAAGTACTACGTTTCCTCATTCTAAATGCGGACGAATAAGATTGTTGAAGATTACGTGGAAAAATCTCCCCCGTCAAACTGGCCAATAATGCGTTTCAATGTTGCATGTGCATGGTTTGTTCGAAAGGCATTTTTGTCACAGTTAGTGTAAGAATTAAAATTGTATGATACCAGCACTCCTCCATCTTTTTCAACTCGGGATGATTCTAGAGAGGAGTTTGCTTAGTTGTGGTTGTAGTCAGCAACATGTGTGGTGGACAAGATAGATATGAACGCAAAAAATATCAACAAAGTTACCAAAGATCAATTGTAATATTAAAATATACCAGTTAATTGTTACAAATACAATAAAAATTTGAAACGTTACTTAAATTAACCAAATGTTGCGTGTTCTGATTGGGTCCGGTACTGTAAATCCACAATTATAAATGCTTGGTGATTCTGATCGGGTTGACGAACTCTCCAGTGATATAATCCAGCGTAGGATGTGATATATTCCAATTACAGTCTATAAATGTAGATAGTATTTGATTTAGACTTCAGTTAACTCAATCACGAATGAAGATAGAACGAGGAATGTGTGAGAAGCAGTATATTTGTTAGCCAGCAACGTCATGTCACGCTATATAGTTGCACAACAGAAAAGTGTGTTTAAGATCATTAGCTAAAACAACAGCTACAGTCCTTTAATGTTAAATATACATACAGTGAAAGATTGACAAGATAAATACAAATAATATTAAAAACTATTTACAAAATAAGCTTGTCAGTCATATCTCCACACATGTTTCAGATGAACTACTTAACACTTTGAAGTGTTAAATGTAAGTCCGTCGTCATTAGCAAAACGTAATAATACTGACGATAGCTGTTGTGAAAGATCACTTGTATAAATCAAGAGGAGAAGAGGTCCTAGTACTGAGCCCTGGGGAACCCCACTAGGACACTCCATAGCATGAGATAAAGTTATGTTTGTAATGATTTATTTACCGTTACAGATCACTACTCACATATTAGGAGGGGTTTGTCGTCGACAAACACTCTTCTGATGGCTTGATACATTCAGCAGCATCTGGTCGTCTCTCCTTACTATAAGGGGTCATGTGGTGCAATACAGTAATGAAAAACAAATACAATGAAGATTTCGACTCATCGTAATCGTCGTTTTTTTATCTAAGAAAAGAAAAAAGGATATTTACGTGGATGCTGAATGCCAATCGTAGGTGCATAAAAACACAAAAAGGGGGAAAAATGTAACTAAACGTATTAACATGCGTTTCGTAAACATACAACAGCGTAGAAACGATATTCGTAGAATAAATTATTGTTTTTCGTGATAAAACGATAAACACTTATGAGCATGTCAGCAACAAAAAACCTGTTCCTGCTTTTTGAGTACAGGTTAAGTATAAATATGAGCATATCAAATTAAGTTTATTTTTGTTTCTTTTCGATACCAAAAAATAATCGAGACGAAACAATGTGTAGTGTAGTGTCATTCGTACGATATTCATTCAAATGTTCAAGAAACCTTGCCCTTCATCCAGGGCGCGTTGTCAAATACTACCGAAGTGTTGTCATGTTTTCGATTTTATGGTGAAGCATCGTACATGTGCGACTCGCGTCTTTCGATTGTACAGAAGAAAAACTGACATGAATACGATTTCCTTCTAGATCGTTCCGTTTTTATTGATGATGTAGTTCTTAGGTTAACGCTGAAGTACTTTGAAGGATCCTTGATATGTCGTTTCGAGAGGTCGACGAATCGAGTCGCAACATACAAAAATGTGGCTAATATAATAGATGATGGTTGGAGGTAGTCGGCAGGACACCCTGGACCCCAATTTCGTGCTACTTGGCATTCGTCAGCAGGGTGTACCTATAATCTTGGGCAGGAACTGGTGCCTTCTGACGGATTCGACCTCGTGTCACCCAGCTTCACAGTCAGAAACGTTACCATTGAGATATCCGGGCCGCTACCAACATCCTGTAGTACTGAGATGTAATCGCAATCGATTAATCACTTGGTGGTGATCAATATCATGTGTGTCAAGTCCTTATTAAAGCGGATCGAATGCTGTCGACCATGGCAACTATATCGTAGGCCAGGTTGAACGAAAATATCAGTTGATTGAGGTCGAGTGAAAACAGGTTTAATTGAACGCATTGCGTTTGTGAGCATGCTCATGCAGGTGTTCAGATCCATACTCACTGAAGATGAAGGATCTACGAATCATCCCGGAAGTCAAATTGTCGCTCCAAAACCAGTTGAGCTCCAGTGTATCCAACGTCAGCTTTCATTGAATCGCAAATACCGAGCAACACGAGTGAAAGAGAGTTAGTCTACTGTGACACTTTTGCAGCAAAGAGTGAAACCTTAGGCTGTCGGTGAAAGGGTTCGACCAACCCGTTTGCCCGTGGGTGGTAGGTTGTCATTCGGAAGCGAGTGATTTCCAACAGTGTAGTCAGACAACGGAAAAGCCCGGATTCAAACAGGCGTCCACTGTCCGTAGTGATATTTAAAGGGCAGCCAAAGCTTACTGCCTACCATTCGACGAAGTTACAAGCCACTGCCTCAGCAGTAATGTCCCTTATAGATACTATCCTAACAACTTAGGTTGATTAGTTAAAGGCTGACCCCAAACATCTAAGTATGTGTCAAAGCAACAGAGCTCAAGTATTCGTTCACTTCCGTATTTTGTATAGGGATTATGTTTCAGATCATCTTACATTGAATGTTTAAATACTTTGTGTGTTTGAACAGGTTAACTCGTGCTCAAATGTCTAAATAACAATCTATCCACTAGTAGTTTGGTTTCTTCTACCAATAGAACGAGGGATACCTACCGAAATGTAACTGTCTCTGATCATCTTATTAAACAGTCTATATAACTTAAGAGATAAGAATGTCCACTTGAATTTGTCAATAGTCCTTCCAAGTCAAGTTAAACATGGTCGGAACGAGCATCAGGAGTTTTGAATGATCATAAGTTACATTTGTTGTGTCTGATCACCTTAGATTTCTGGAAACTTACACAGGAGGGTGCCCACTCTCTCATGTCCTTATTCATACCAGGTCAGCAAAATCGTTCTGCTGTGAGCTTGATTGTTGCACAAACACCTGAATGAGAAAGCTTGTGCAACGTTGTGAAGATGTTGCGTCAATAATGTTTGGGTATGACCGGACGATCCGTACCTGTACATGTATTACATAGTGAGGTTTCCTTACCTGCTCACATCTGTTTAATGCACTGTTTCAGGGCTGTTGAAGGTAACTCGTGCTGAAGATCATTGTCTTGTTTTTGAAGTTTAATAAGGTCAAGTCTCTGGAAACTGTTCGGAGAAGTTACACGAAACAAGACGTTTGCATCTACATTGTTTGCTCCAGAAATGTCTTATGTATCTAAGGTCAGATAGTGTGACTCAGCTTTGCAAGTGTTACCATACTCATGTAACAGTCTTTTATTTATATTTAATATATTGTTCTATCTCTAGCCTAAATGGGTTCATCATATATAGATGATTATTACAATACGAATGAGTCAAGGTAGATAATAACGTGGCATTCACTCAAGATCTTATAGATTAGGCAGTTACATCATAACTAATCTAAAATTTTAGGATTAGGTCTATTATTAGCGCAGTACTAATGTCATAGTAGACTACAATCCTACATACTTTTCTGAAGATGAACTTAAAGAGGCAGTAAGACTTTTATGCCCGGTAAAGAGAATGAATTCTCGACCTTCAGCAGAGTGCTGAAAGCGCCGCACAGCACAATACATAGCTAGGAATTCCCTAGCAAACGTGCTATAGTTCTGGGTAATTCATAATGGCCGCCACTTTGCTTTTCAGAGGTCGGATGCCTTGAACATGAACAGTATGTCTGAGAAAATCGAAGGAGTTGGTTCCGATCTGGCATTTCTGATTGTCTACGGTAATGCCATGTTTCACAGTCGTTCGACAACAAGGTCCAGATGCCGGAGAATGAGATTCTCTGTCTGGACATGCGATCAAGTAGTCATCTACAAATAAATGGATGAATCTCTGGAAAGTTTGTGCAGCATTTTCTAAACCGAAAGGCATACACAAAAATTCGTAAAGTCCGAGAGGTGTGATGATAGTGGCTTTAGGAATGTCGGCTGAAGCCATGGGAATTCGCTTATATGTTTTAATCAAATTGATTTCAACACAGTAGTTGTAACGTATAAGGTAGCTGTCAAAACTTGAATGTGAGGCAACGGGTAAACGACCAGGAATGGGTTTCTGATTTAGTCACCGATGGTCACCAGTTGGACATCAACCACTACTGCCATTTTTAAGGATCATGTGCAAGGAATATGTCCGTGCGCTGTTTGATGGTTGAACGATTAATAGGCTTATCAAATGGTGAAATTTGTTTTTAGCCTACATCAGCTTTTCAGGAGCTAGTCGGCACGTTTCTGATACGATACGTAAAAATGAAAATTGAAAAAAAAACCATATACTCAATTTCGGGGAAGCCGCTATAGTACACTTTGGGAAAGTTTTGGGGAAATGGCACTAAAACCCCTGAATTTCCCAATATTTTCCCGAAATTTCCCCTAAATCTTATTACACTCTGGAGACATCCGCTTATATATATAATTAAAACCCCAAAGTTTTCCCTGATTTTTGCGCTTTTCCCCAAAATTTCACCATAATCTTATTACAGTTTTTGAAAACTCGTTTTAACGAATTACTTCTCAACAAATTTCTACAGATATCACGAAAAAGCAAGGCGAGAATAAATACTTGCAGTTTTTACTGCGATATTCCATTATTTTCAGTCAATTACCCAGTGAACACAGTGCCAAAGAAACATAATGTTACTCGATCTATTGCTGTAATTAAAAGACTGAAATGTTTATTAAGATTTCTAAAATTACAAATCATTGATTTATACGTGCTTTCTTTATCGCTATGTAGACGTTGAACTATCATTCACAATGCTCTACACAAATGTAAAATATTCTTTAGTTTATAAGCAAATGTCATGATATGTAAAACGTCGACGTACCAACGAAATAACAATGTTGTTATAATGCGAACCAAAAATTTACAGTTACATCTGTTAAAACTTGTGAAGACAGCTGAAAGCAAGATGGACAAGAAATAATATTTTTACTGACAAGAAAAAAGTTGTTTCAGCACAATAATTGGTCACAAAGTAACATTAAAACTGCAGTATGTATTCAATCAAGCATGTAAGGTGCTTTTAGCTCACCCTTTCTTCGGATCGCCATCCACGCTTATTTACTTTATCTCTTGCGTCATGAAAGAAAGCCTGGCTTGCAACATCCATGGCCTGTACTACTTCTTTTTCGGGACGGGTTTCACTTCGGAGTCGGAAATAGATTCACAGTCCACAAATTAGTGTACCAGATCACGTCAAAACCACCACCAGAAAGTGCCACAAGTATTCGGAGTTTGACGACGCCTTAACCAGTAGCATTTTTTGTATTCAAAATATACCAAACCAGTGAAATCTGAAACCAGAAGCGAAAAGGTTCAAAGACATACTAGCTATGTCGAGAAGTGAACTATTTAAGCTGGCTAGCAGTTGAAGGAGGTGTGTAAAACGGCGTACTCGCTCATTTTCTGGTGCGTATGCATAATCGAGCGCTTTAGCTAGTTAACTTCATTAAAGCTAATGCGGCCAGCACCAATTGTCGAAGACTTACAGAACTATTGATTTCGAACTGTTCAACTGATGACATTTTTAAGTGTTTTTTCGATATGACAACATCGAATGATATTTTCGTCCGAACTGTCCAAATATGATGATCAAAAAAAGATCAGGGAGGACGTGGCAGTGGTTGGGAGGAGGAAGGGAATGATAGACGTGAGATTATTGCAGTGACTATCGAGAACAGAAGTGTCCCACTTACGCTGTCTAAAAATAATTACGACCATTGGTAAAATGTTTTCAGACCGTATTGACTATTCAAAATAGCAACTTCAGAAACAATGTTAGTTATTGACATACCAATGAAGATGACACAGGTATTTAACCAGTAACACCTAATATGAAGCGTACCCACCAAGAGAAATCAAAAGACAGAACCGAGGAGATCGGAAGATATATTTGTTGACTGGCTGGCGATTGCAGTAGATGTTGAGCACGGCGTTCTCACACGTGATCTGGTGCGGATGCATGGCCGAGCGATTTCAGCTAGGTGATTCCATTAAAACATGTGGTCAGCATCCAATGTCGAAAACTTACAGAGCCATTTATTTTGGGGATTTATTTACCTCTACACCTACTTTTGGGCTTATTAACCAATAATATACCGTTATTCTGCTGCTTTTTATTAACAAAAGACAGGAGTGTACAAATGTCAAGTGGTATATTGATAAAGAGTTTGAAATCCTAATATATCATTTCGGTTTCACTTAGCCAAATGTCTTAGCTTCACTTTTATGTCGATGCAACTTATCATCAACATAAATTTGTGTTTTTAGGTGCTCGATTGACATGCAAATTTTTTACTCAATTTGTCAGTAAAATCTCTCGCTGTGTTAGACATAAACGTTACCTTTGTTACTCCACAAAATATTGTTTATTGAGCGTTATGCACAAGCAGGTGTACTTCACAAGGTCGTCTGATTTTTAGTATTTCGCAGGCTTTTTGGGTAACAGTGTAACAGTGGCAATTTTCACATGAATTATGGGTCAGTTAGACCAGGTATCACTGTTAAGTTTGGCAAGGTAAGAATTAACTTTACTAGTCATTAGTTGATGATATATCATCAATCATATATGATTGTCCAGAAATTAGGACTGTAGTGACATTTACACGTGTGGGATACTATAGTACTACTTATGAGCAGCATGACATTTATTAACTAATCCAATAGGTTTTTCTATGATAGGTTGGTTGACGTTCTTACCATACAATTTGATTTCAATCAAAACTCATATATGAGTCATATATGACTCATAACTATAGTTATAACTAAAATCCGCATTATTTCCCCCGGACAGGCGAAAGAGGCGACATTCTGGCGCGTTTTCTCCTTTATTTCCTTTTTCGCCACCAAAGCATTTACCCATTTATTTCCCCTTTTTCGGTTGTCTGGGTATGAGTCAATACTTCACCTCAAATTCTAACCACTCATAAACACCACATCTTATATCTTTTACTAAGTAAGAGAAAATCATATTAGCGGATGATTATCACTTCATTTTGGAAGCTGTTTCTGGCTACTGTATTTCATATGAGGCAGTTGATCAGTGGTTACCATCAATCTATTGGCGACTGATACAGGTCTGGTTCACATTCCGTGTACATAAACCTGCACTTAGTAAATAAGTTATACATCACTGTGCCCATTCGTCATCGGACCAAATTTTACTAAGGGTCCGTGAAGATGATTCGTTTTTTCTTACCCGAACATTAGTGTTTTCAAGTCTATAATAGGCATAAATACATTGAAATTCACGGTCTGTGAACTTTCTTCATAAACACGTCAATCACTTTTGCTTTGTTATTAAGACTGAAGGGAAGGAAATAATTTCATATGGGTTAGTAAAGTACATTCTGGTTCTTATTATAGCGGATTATTGATCCAAGGTACAACAATATATTACACAATGTACCCATCGGTATAGAAGCTACAGAATACCTACAATTCAACGTTGATGATCTTGGTAAGATTATTTTAATCTCTTAATTTTTTGATATAAATGGTGCTGAAGTTTATAGCTTCATATCACTACCGGTTTTTTCTTACCGAGATCCAACAGATACGGAATTACTTCGGACTGAATTGTTTTTTTTTTTAAAAACGTTTGTAATAAACCAAGATTTACTTTTTGCACCCCTATTATTGGCGGTCATCTATCTTTTTAGACCTTAGAACTGCTTTTACTTCATTATTTTTCCGGCTTAAAAGTACTAGCTCTTAAAATGCCCAGGCAGATATTGCTTTACTATCATTTTGCTGTAATCATTGTCCATTTTGTCGTAGCAAATATACGAGTCTTTGATTTGCTCTTTTTAGAGAACTAGAGACATTACTTAGCGGTCTTGTCAAGAGTAAAGCCTGTAGAAGTGTGAAGGCTTAACCTGCAAGTTACCTGGGGTCTAATCCATTTCATAGGTTTTCATTAAATAAAGATAGCACTATCCAAGTCTACGCAGGTTTTATTTAGTCTATCATCTGACTTATGGTCAGCGATGGAAACGTTTTGTGAAACTATACAGCTTTGGTGATACTTTGCTAAAATCTAATGTGAAAGAGATTCAGTCAGATTACTTTTGTTCCGTTATATTATTGTGACTACGATTTCATTGGTTTCTGAGGAATACCCTCATATCGAAAAGGTAACCCAAAAAATATAAGACTGCAGTTTGTTATAGTTCTAAAATTGTACCATGATTTAGCAATGGACTACATTTTATCTTGAGCTATGTAAAATTGGAATTAACAAATTAAGATTATTGTCATGTGTAATGTGTGTCCAAAGTTCGACCTCGATTAATTGGCGAGACTATAATTTATGGACAAACTAATCACGTATAGGACAGCAGGTCTCGGATTTTGGCGCGAAATTCACTCATCCATTTAGCTAAACAGAGTTTTGGCATTATAGCTGGTGTCAATTCGTGGTAAAAACCCTAAATCTAATTCCTAACCTTGATCATTAAATCATAATTCTAATTTCTCACACAGGTTTATAACTCATTTGGTACTGGTTATTAGGTGGACACTCTCAAGGTCAGTCCAGTGTCACTCAAGTGTCGTCCATAAATTATAGTCTCACCGAATTATTCTTGATACGACGTAACTCAACTGCTATTATTGTTATTGTCATCGTTAAACAAGATTGTTTTAAAGGAAAATACGGCAAACTATCCCAAAAGATAAAACAACCACTGTATAATCTGAAAAATAGCTCATTTATGCATCCACAAACACGACTTGGCGATGAAGTAGCAATAATTTGTTCTTCAAACAGATCTATGTGAACAACTGGATACTAAATTGATTAAGATAACGTGTGAATCTTGAGTAAGAAAGCAATGTGTGTGTAAAGGCTTTTGTAACCTTAAAATTCAAGTCAGTCCGTATGTAAGTATCAAGTAAACCGATCAACCAATAGAGGAAGTTTACATTCCTGTTCAGAATCAATTGAGGAAATTTGGGGAATGCCAGGGCAATCTTACGAATGTTAGCTTAACGCTTAAATTCATGGACTACAGCTGTATAGTAATAATCTGGAATATAACATTTTTTGTATTTCACTGTAGTTATTGGTAATATCGACAGTAGGAAAAATATCGTCGATAGACAAACAAATAACTGACCAATCAACTCAGATGCAATGCAGTTACTAATTACATCAACGTAATTGAATGAAATATTCAGTTATAACTTCATCTGTTGATTTTGTCCCGTTTTATTTTTTTCAATGAAACATGTTATCCAGTAACTTACGACATGTCAACTACAAGTCCAGTTGCAATATACACCATGAACTCAGGTGGATTCTTATCACCGAAATCCTGTCATAATAAAATCCACCGTTTTCACACGTCTGACATATATCCCAAAGGTACTTATCATTTCTGTTTTAATCGAAATATTCAAGCTTGTTGGTTTTATGATCGTTATGGTAATTCATCAAATACAGTGCAACGTCAGTCGCCATGCTGTCATATGGTTCGTTTAAACGGTCTCATCAAATCTGTAAGCATGTAAGTTCCTTTCAAGTTATTTTACATTGTGTAAAGCTCTAATCACTGTAAATTTTCTAAAAGTTGTCAGTTTTACTTTGCTTTGACAGACACCTATTCCTTTTTAGCACTTACGACATAATGAGAGATATCTCCTGGGTTCGTTTTGGTATACATCAATCTAAAGGACAAATGTCATATCAATATTGTCCGTTGCTAGCCAACACAAAAAATGTGACTGACCTCAAGCAGTTGTCCCTTGGGCACTGTGGTCACACTCTCAGGTCACTAAGACTACCTCTAATCCAATTTCTTTTTCAGGTACCTCCAGAACAACCCTTCCACGGTGTGGGCAACCGGGAAGTGATAACCGCCCTCATACCTATAACAGTACTCAAGACCACTGTATTCGTAATCAACCTCTCTCTTCAATTCCTGTTATTCCTCCTACATCGACTTTCAACTCTAAATTTCCTCTCTCGGCTTCCTGCTCAAGTGTCACCATAGCCAACGATTTTAGTGCTCAAAACACTGTTCCAAGTCTACTGAAACCTCGCTCCAAACTACACATTGGAGTCTTCAACGTACGAACTTTATGTCAATTCGGTCAGCAGGCTTCCTTGGCTAAAACCCTAGTCTCTTACCATTGATGTGTGCTGTGTCTCCGAAACACACATACAGGATCCTAGTGTGGTCGCTCCCACCGACTGCAGCTCAGATGAAGTGAAAGATGAATTTTACAGAAAGCTGTCCGAACTTCTTCAGAAAGCTAAACGCTCAGACATAGTACTCGTAGCAGGTGACTTAAGTGCTCAACTAGGTAGTTTAAACCAAACAGAAAGGCATTTAGGTGGATATTTTAATATTCCGACACAGCGAACAGATAATGGTGATCGTCTGCTGCAACTATGCTCAGACAATCGTTTATTTTTAGCAAACACAAATTTTAAGCATAAGGAGAGACACCACCTAACATGGTGACCCTCTACACCAAACCAACGATGGACTCAAATAGATCATATTGCCATCAGTCATCGTTGAAGAAGGTCGGTAGAAGATTGCTGCTTATTCTGGAGTACCTGCTTGAACTCCAACCATGCCCTAATACGGGCACGCATCTGATTGCGCCTCACTGGACGCAAAAAAGACCCATTAGAACTGAGTTGAGTAACGAGAAAACCAAAAGTTCCAGGAACAACTGAGGTCACACTTAGGTAGTTCTGAAAACGAGGCTGACCCAGATGTTGCTTGGAAAGATATACAAACAGCTGTGGAAACATCAGTGACATATATTAGTGACTTAAACCACAGAGTTACAAAGAACCAATGGATTTCTTCAAGGTCTATCACACTGATTATTCTCGCAAACTCGTCCCATCAGGTTCCGAACATGCTGAAGAGCGACAACAAATCAGATCTAGGTTAAGAAAAAGTCTAAGGAACGACCGTGAGCAGTGGTGGGCAACGAAAGCAAAAGAGATGGAAAAGGCGGTGGCTATAGGGAACACAAGACAGCTCTACAGACCAATAAAAGAAACTGGAATTAATGAGTCATGTGTAAGTGAGACTATTTCGAAAAAAGCGACACTCATCTGCTCGCAGTCCAGACGTTTAAAACGATGGGCGGAACATTTCAGAGAACAGTTCAGCTGGCCTCAGCTACTCTACAACTACCCTCCATTCCCAGACAGTATGAAAAAAACATTGAAGTAGGTCCCGCAACTCCACCTGAAGTTCACAAGGCTATAGTTAATATGAAACGAGGAAGGGCAGCTGGTCCAGATGGATTGGCTCCAGAGGTTTTTAAGGATGGTGGTCCAATTTCAGTGATTACGTTGACTAATATTTTAGCTAAAATCTGGGAGTTGGACGTAATTCCATCTGACTGGCCACAATCACTGATCGTCCCAATATATAAAAAAGAGTCAAAATCATCCTGTGACAACCATAGAGGTATTAGTTTAATTAACATAGTATCTAAAATAACAGCCTCGATAATTATCGGACGCCTAACTAAGACTCGTGAACTGCAAACACGAGAGAATCAAGCTGGCTTCAGTCCTGGTCGTGGCTGCATCGACCACATATTCACCATTCGTCAAGTTCTAGAACACAGGCATACTTATCGGCGTGCAACAATGGTTGTCTTTCTTGACCTAAAAGCAGCATCTGTTTCGGTAGACCGCGAGATTCTGTGGCAGTGTCTGTCATTGAAAGGCGTACCCCAGAGGTACATAAACCTTGTGAAGGCTCTTTACTCGAACACTACTAGTCGAGTCAGGGCTTATGGCGAACTGTTATCTACTTTTGCAACCTCAAGTGGTGTTCGTCAAGGCTATCCACTTTCTCCATTTTTGTTTAGTTTCATCATAAACCTACTGATGGAAATAACATTCTCATCTACTGAATTGTCGGGTATTGATCTCCTTCCAGGAGGTCCACTTATCGACTTAGAATACGCAGATGATATAGTCCTGTTTGGGGAAGACGCTGATAAAATGCAGTGTTCTGGCAGCACTAAGCAACAATGCCAGAATGTTTGGATTGCGCTTCTCTCCCTCTAAATGCAAGTTGTTGCTTCAGGATTGGTCTGCGTCCACACCTGAACTAAGGATATGGAGTGAAGTAGTTGAACGCGTTGACAACTTCATTTATGTTGTTGGTCTGGTCAGCTGTAATGGGTTTGTGTCTGACGAAATCTCAGTACGTATTCGAAAAGCTTGTTTGGTTCTTGCCAACTAACGTCACCTATGGCGAAGGCGAGATATCCATCTATCAATAAAAGGACGAGTATATTGCTTGGCAGTCCGTTCTGTTTTAATTTACGACAGCGAAACATGGTCACTAAGAGTGGAAGATACCCGTAAGCTACTAGTATTTGACCACAGATGCCTTAGAAATATTACTGGCGTCTGCTGGGACCACCGGGTAAGTTATGATGAGGTTCGACTCAGGGTATTAGGTAATGATGGTAAATCAGTTGATGAGGTTGTGAATCTTCATCGACTGAGATAGTTGGGCTATATGTTACATATGCCTGAACACTGATTACTAGGACTCGCAATGCTGACCATTGCTAGAGACGGTTGGGAGAACGATAGGGGCGGCTAAACCAAAACGTGACATCAGTACTTGAAGTCACTAACTTCTAGTCTGAGCCATGTTGGTAGATGCAGACTACTTGGTTGGGGTCTGCGTGACTATCATAACCGATGGTTGAAGACTCGTGGAGACATGGCTCAGAATCGATCACAATGGCGTAGTGTATACACTCGGTGTCTTCCCTTAAACTAAGAAATTAAAATCGCTTCTTATCTTTCTACGAACTAAATCTTTCTTCCTGTACTATGTCCTTATATGCAATCTTTCTTTTATATCTTACCACCACTGAATTAACTACTATGAATTCGGTGTTCATCTTGTTGTGCTAATGCGGTATGGCAACTTGAACCGATACATATATGTGCCTGGTCCTACTTTGTAGCTGACTGACTGACTGTCAAATGATTCACTTGTCTGAATGGGACTGTTCCTGTCTGAGGTTTCTGCAGCATGGAAGGTTTTTTCACATTCGATAACAAGGCATCATGATATTTCGTAATAACATCACGAGGATCATTATTAAGATCTTCATAAGTAAAATAGAGGTCTTTGTCTGCCTGAAAGGCACCGAAAAGGATTTGTATATTGTTCTCTAGTTTAGAATTATTTATACCATTAATCATGCGGTCACGAAATCTGATGTGCAGCTGTTCACCGAAATTGCACTTAGAAGCTTGTATCCGAAGCTGTATTATGAAATCTCTAATAGTCTGATTTGGTGCACGAACTAATTTGTTGAAATGTGATGTCATGTATTTCCAACGGTTTGACATCAAAATGAGCGGTTGGTAATCTCGTAAGTTTGTTGAACGCAAGTAGGGTAGGTTTACCAGGATGTGCCAAATTCTTTAACAAACTATAGGCTTTTCTATCAATAGCAGTAATAAAGTGGTATGCAATGCTATCTTCTTTAAAGTTATATGACAAACACCAAGCATCAAGTATTCTATACAATCCTCCACTTCTCTCAGGGACAAATTAATGGACAATTACCCCAAGTTACTTGAATTCCTATGTACTGCGACTCCAGGTGTAAATTTGAAATCAGGTAACGAAATACTACTAATCACAAGTCTAGAACTTCGACAAGATTCAAGCAAGAACTCAAATTTGAAGTATGCAGTATGAAATTGTATTGTATTGTTATGATATATTTAAACAACATAAAAGGTGTAATTGTATAGTAAATGCATCAGTTATTCACCACACTAACTAACGGTCTCGAATTTTCACTACCCTGTAGTCATTTGATGCCAAGCTGAAACCGAAGGCAACTGGGTTGGTTTAAGACTTAAAGCGTGGTCCATCGATTCGGTCTTCACCTACTACCAAATCTTTAAACATCAATACACTGACAGATGTCTCACACTAACCACTCTCTACCACTAGGTTATCAATGCAAACGCCTGTATAAAATAATACCAAATACACGATTGTTGACCAGAATAATAGGTTTTTACATCTTTTAAAATAACATGTTTCTATACAAACTCTTAGCGCGAAAAGTAAACAATCAGGTGTCATAAGCGAAGGAAATAAATTTAATAGGTCATTTACTCTTCAATCAATCAGGATTCTACTGTTAGATGTAATTCTATCCCACCATATTGTCTTCGTCATAGACGGGGATTATCTCATGTGTTGGAATCAGGTTAAGAATATTTGGTCTGTGTTCTTCACCTAAATGTTAAAAAAAACTATCATCGATTACAATATATTCACTTTTTACTCACCTGTAGAGCTTGATGATTTATTGCTTGTACTTTATTTGTCTCCTTTTACTTATATCTCTCACCATTCAACATGTTTTATTTATTTTTTAATTTTCCAATCTTTCAGGTATTGTTACGAACTGTTGGGAATTGGACCGATTCCTTCCTATACGATATCTAAATTGTTACATCTCTCTGCTCATTTTTTGTACCCTAGAAATTTGATTGTGTTTAGGGATAGCTAACAGTCCTATTCCATATTAAACTTTTCAACAAAATATGGCTGTAATTCAGTGAATGTTTGTACTCAGGAGGTCCTACCAACAGACTACTCATAAAATAGAATGTCGAATCTCTATAGCCAATCTTGTAGCTATTCATTTAGGTATGAAACCGGTTTGTTGAAAGAATCCAGGAATTCAGCTCAGTAAAATTAACGAGCTCATAAATGTTTCATTTAGAAAGAAAATATTATTTGCACAAAGGTTAACCGATCTTACTCAGATTCCATTTGGAACGGTTTAAGTCCGACTCAGTCTCACTGAAACAGTGTGACATTAACGAACTTTAATGAACCGATTCATACTTTCAGGAATTAGCTACCAACTATCGGAAAATATAAAGAGCTCATGTGACAATAACGAGACTTTTTAAATCTATTCAATTGGCAATCAAACAAAACAAGTCCAACTAACGTGGTAACTTTTTTATTTTCTTTTTTTCTAATAGGGAGCATTTAAGATGCTTGAAGCAGACTTCTGTAGGTTATTCACAGCAAACGAATGGTCTGAAAAATTCATTTGTATCTTGTGATCGGTTAAACACAACACCATTTACAGACACAAGCATTCCAGTTGAGTCACGTTCATCTGGAGATGGTCAAACAGATGATGAAGAGGAATTAGGCGGAGTTAATTACCGAATTACTCCTGACATTCGGTCAAAAATCAATTCAAATTCTTCAAATGAAGTAAAAGTTTTCCTAGGTAATGTTAATATGGATGCGAAGTGTGATAGAAAACAAAAATGGTATCATATTGCCAAATATTCTAAACAAATAACAAAAATATCGCGCTAATGAAAATAACCATTAATTATTAAGAAACCAAATAATATGAACATAACAAGAATATAAGAATTATATTAATATCCGTCTACAGTCTACCTTATGGTTGTCAAAAAGATTTTTTTGGTGCTATATAGCACTAGTAAACTACGCATATTCTGATTAGCAGTGACTTTTCCAGTATATGTGACGTCACTTTATTACTGATGAATCTGCAATGATAAGATTGAGTTTTGAAAGGAGAGTAAACGAAGTGATGACTTAGTAATTACATCGCTTATCTTTCAATCACTAAGTTGAATTTCGAAACCTCACTGCATTTATTTTGGTTTGGAACCTGGATAGCATCACTTGATTTTACTCACATTAAAGAGACAGCTCTTATCCAGTTGTATAAACTTGATCCTATTTATCGAGTTGTATTAATTATGAAAACCAAGTTGATAGGGGTTGAAAATCTGCAATGACTGCAATTGTTGATGCATATACTTCATTTTCACACAGCTGCTCACTTCCGATGATAATACCATGTAAACAGCTCCTGGGTGCAGCAATGTGTGTTCAGTGGTGTGATAATTCAATTGGTGTCTTCACTTTAAAACACTGGGTTATGTGATTCGAACATATCTAAGAAGTCTCATTTCGGGAGAATTTCTCAGTGCCTATTATTTACGGACACCAGAACTGGGTGGGAAACACAGGAAACCGACCTGTTTACGATGTGGTGCTGATGAATAGAAAATGGGTTTTAGACCGGTATCTGTCAGCTCATCACTTCTTGGTTGTGTTCCTATTGATCAAACAACTAAGTGACTTGTTGCTATCATATGTGTTTTAAATAAAAAAAACTAGTTGGGATCCTTCTATGTATTTTTCCACCGCACTTCGTAAGTGAAAGAGGAAACTCTAATTTAGAGAAGTGTTGTATTTTTCAGTAAACTCCTGCCTTGTTGAATAAAATATTTGTTCTTACTTAATTACTTACTTTACTTACTTACTTACCCCACATAAGGCACAGACTTGACTTCCTTTTATTTCTTTACAGTGTTATTGTTCCATCTTGTGTAGTCCATTTTATTTATGTCGTGTTGGTGGTGATTACTAAACATCCATGTAGTTTCACATTGTATGACTGATAATCATGTTAATTTTTACATTTGATATACTAGAAAATCAGTGTAACTTTTAGTTTTCAGTTTCTTCACGATTCCATATCTTTATTTATTCCACTCGAATCGTTAGTAGTTAGAAATGAATTAAATTCTTACTTTGATGAAATAAATAGCTTTTGAGTAATTAGAAAATCTTAATTTTTTCATTGTATTATTTGCATTACATTATTCTGTTTATTGAATTCTAAGTGCATCCCTAATTTATACAATTATTACTCTTTGTTTCATTTCCAAAGATCCTCACTCCAAATCACATTCACCTTCAAATTCTTTTACACACGATCAAATTAATACTAAACATCTACTTCTTCCAGGTCGTTCCGCTTTTGAAAAACATTTAGTTCGAGAAGTAGCGTACTTTGAAATATGTGAATTTTTAATTGGACAAATAGAAGAAATTTATGATATGGAAAATTGTGAGTTTTTAAATTCTGTGTATGGCGAAAAAAAGAAGGACAAATCTTTACAAATTCCTAATGACTCTCAGGTACAATTATCATTTTATATTAGTGAATAATTTAATTATTCACAATTATTATGTATGTTATAATTTGTAGTAGTTTTTTAAAGATAGAAATGCTCGCTTAAATTGTTAAATCTGAAGTGATTTTACACTAATTTTACTTTCAAATGTTGCCTTGTGCATTTTATGTGTGTCCAGGTAAAACCTTGTTTCACATACATGTACTACTTTCTTATCTCTCTCACTAACAAACCAAGAAATTATTGCTAATGAATTTCATTTTAAACTAGTTATAAAGAGGCGATAGATATATTTTTATTTAGTTAGGAAGATTTATCTGATATAATTACTATTTACAACAATAACATTGGCAAATGCCCAATCTACACCATCGTATTTTAAATTGTTTATCCTTAGTTGTGAAATAGGCTAGTCATTCACTTCATAAAAAGAGATGAGTGTCTTTCTGAAGTAGTAATAATATTAATAGCCTTTATACATGCTCAAAGTGCGACTGCGTACACAAACTTCTACATTTGGTAATTGAGTTCCATAAAATTAAAATAAAATACCTGACTCACTATTGTAATTCATATTCCATAATAATTGTTAATCGAAATTTAACATTTTTTCACTACTTTTTATTTTCATAATTATGTTAACATTTTGTTAACCATAAACCTTCAAACATGTCTAATTTTTCTTGTTTTGTTCTGTGTACAAATTAACAATAATAATAAATAAATATTTAAATGTGTGTAAACATCCTTTACGTTGAATAAGTTGGACCATTAAAATTTTTTAAAGGTTCACAAATCGAATACTTTACCTTCAAGTCTACTCTCGTCACATATGACTTTGGTGGATGTTACTGACCAAAATTTACGTAATCCATTAATCAATTCAACATTGCATAGTCAATCTAGAGAAACCGATTACTGTGAGCATTGTGTAGATAGCGCGACGGGACTGGCAGTTTCACTAGTCAATACGTGTATACAAGAAACTGCTCAAAACGAAAAACAAGAAATGATTTTGTTTAAATTTTTAAAATTACAAGAACAACTTCTCAAAACTTGTGATATTAACTGGGTTCGTTTAAATCAGCAGTTTATCGAATCGCCAAGATCAACGAGGTTTAATTATGATACTAAATTTCAAAACTTTTCCAAAAATAATCGGCTATCAAGTCCATCTAGTAATTCAATACAACTCAATTCTCAGGGGTAAGTATTTGTTTTTTCATATTGTATTTAGCGAAATTTAGTGACCTCTATGCGTGTTCATTTAGCTAATATTCTAAATTGTGACCCAAAGGTGTCCTTATATATATATGCTGAAATGGACTTGGAATAACACTTACCAAATGAATACTAATATACCATGCCAAATTAGAATGTATCCGCAAATTAATATGATTCAGTCTCTAAATTTTATGTATCGCCATGTTGTACTGTCCTTACTTGTCTTCAAATATTTTGAGAATAGTTTTCTAAAGATCTTGCCCACCACCTATCTACCGCGTTTATTATCACTCACCATTAAGGCATATTTATTACTTTAAATAAATTTAGGCTCATTCAAAGATTTGGACTTTTGTAACTGAGTGTCGTAATGAAAACTTGAGATTGAATTTTCTCAAAAAATCTGATTTACAAAGGCTAATAAACAACTAACCTTTAAATCACAAGATTTCTTCTTCATTTATTTAACATTGGATAACCAACTATATTTTATACGATAATCAAACTACAACATTGTAGGTTTCTGTTCGTTTATAAATGATAACAACAACTAATACTTAGACATTTGGTTTTCAGTGTTTGTGAGTAAATCGATTTGTTATCCAGTTACAAGTAATGTCACCTTGATGATTCAGAAACTTATTTTGTTTAGTTGATTTAAAATATTATCTAATAGAAACACTTTTTCGAATTGTTTTAAAATAATAATGAAATCCATAAGATAAATTTTCCTGTGTGATATTACAGCCCATAAATGTTCTTTAGAACATTCTAGGTGACCGAAACATGCCCCGAATTGCTCTCATGCAATCCATCTCTTGTAAGAAAATCTCGGTAATCATTCATTTGTATTATTTCCTAGTTTGATTGATCAAACACCGAAGTTGTTAACTAATATAAGTATATTTTCTAAAAGCCATTAAAATCCAAAGATCGTTCATAACCAAATCAACGGTCTTCGACTTCTGTAGCGCTAAATTAACCTTGAAAGCGAACATGTGACATTCTTATCTTCTAATTCAGGAATCCTGAGTTTTTAGGAGGCAATAGGTCATGCCCCAAAAATGCCCTGGTACGGCCGAGGGTAGAGAATCTTTTTTTTCCTCACTAGGCCTCGCGTATACAGCCACTACCAGAGAAATCCTACTCATTTCCTCAACAACGAATCCTTCATGATTGTTTTTTCTTAACTGGAACTGGTTCTCTCCCTTTATTATTATTATTATTATTATTATTATTATTATTATTATTATTATTATTATTATTATTATTATTATTATTATTATTATTATTATTACTTCACTCTAATACACTAATTTCTGTTCATTGTTGCTCTTTTATTATACTCACCCTCCATTCTCTATCTCTTCACAACCCCATTGTTATTGTATGACGCGTATGTATTTTGCGCCCCTTTATACCAATGTTTATGTGTTCAAATAAATAAATAATAAATAAGTTGATATATCAGGAAATCATTGCCGCAAGTGTTCACCATTTCAGGCGCAACATCTACATATGATTATGTAAGCCCATAACATAAGTCACACGTCCGAATTTGACTTTATTCCCATTAGTTTGAATACTCAGTAAGTATCACTAGCTCCTACCAAAACAGTATGTTTCGAAGTCAAATAAATAGACACATATATGGTTGATGAGCTACACGTGTTCTACTTTTAGCTATTTAGCCTACATATTCATAGTCGCAGTTGTGTTTAACCTGTTTCCTCTTTTATTATTCCATTTTAAAAATCTTTGTAGAAGGTCCAACACATTTCATCATTTGACTTCATTATCTCAGTCAAGTAATTCGAAAAGAGCTATGAAATCAATCTCACAATCTGATTATTCCTCTTCAGTGTTAACCTCATCTAGTTCATTTGTTAATCATTCAACAACGCTTTCAAAACCTACCATAAATAAATTGAGTAATAATTCAACTATTATCATAGATACACTTTCAAAGAATGATAATAGTAATAACAATGATAATCATGCTAACAATAGGTCGTTAATTTCTTTAAATAAAGATTTTCAATTATCGGGTAAAATTAGATCCGATAATCAAGACTATCCTACATCATCATTGTCACTGTCATCAGCGTTTGGCTGTACACCTTTACCATATGGATTATTGATCAATCCACCTATCCAAAAATCTAAGTAAGCATAGTTTTATTTCAATGTTTATGTTTGCTGTATGTAATTGAAGAGTTATTCGGGGGGAAAAGTGCCTTAGGTCACCTTTATACTATAAAAATTGAAGATAAAAGAAAAATTAGTTTCAAACTATTGATACATAACTTGTACTAGTTATCTGACTAGTGGGTTAGGATTATTATCATCATCAAGTATTTCAATACGATTTATGTAACGTGTTTGTTACTCATGCCAACAGATTTTCCACACAATAGTCATAACTTTTCTTTTTGAAACCAATACTAAGGTTACTTTGTATTGGAAAAGTTATCAATGAAGAAACATGATGTCTTCTTGTTTGGAAAACACCTCAAATCTATACTTCCAAGTACACATAATTTCTTTCCATTCGGTTATTTAGAAAACCATTCAGAGTTTTGTCTCACATAGTTCAACCTGACTATATTAGTATTTGAACTCTCTTTGAATGCATTGATACACCTAAGACATAAGTAACTGTTTATCATAAGTGTTTAAACATTTAGTTGTATTTAGTCATATTTTTCCTTTTAATACTAGGGAGTATGCTTTGAAAATTTTAAACTTCACTACATTAATGATATTTAAATAGAATAGTTATCATTTTAATTGAATGTCTTTTTCATTTGGTCATTTTTCTACGCATAGACGTAAAGGAGTTCTTGCTAGTCAAAATAACCGATGCGCTGGTTGCGGTGCCTTCATTGAAACTCGTAAGTTCTTCCTCATTTGTTGATTAGTAATATTCAAGAAATAAATGTGCTTTCTTTTCATTTTCTTTAAATTGTATTTATTCTATACTTTATTGATAAATCCATCGTGAATACTGAACCATTCTGAGGACTGTTAAATGTGCCAACAAACAAGACAAGTATCTGCATGTATATCTTTCATGTAGATCATTGACAAGTTTTACTAGTCGGATTATCGTTTAACCTGGTTCAGTTCAAGCTTTTCAGCCTTCATATACCGAAACAAAAGAAAGAATTAAAGTTTTCTATGTAACTGGACTGTTTTGACAGATCAAATTGTGAGAATTAATACCTAGTTGGAGTGATTTGATAGTTCGAGCGTTTGTCTTTAACTCTTTGGGTCGAAGGTTTTATCCGCACACCCATTTTGGCTTCAACAGGCTGATAGCATCAGTAACCCTTACATCAAAAGTGTAACCCAAACTCGAGTACATGTACTCGTATTTTGTAATTGAATTACATTACAAGAATCATTTCGTAGTACTTCTGTGATATTATTATTTATTTATTTATTTGAACACATAAATATTGGTACAAGAGAGCGCCAATATATATGCGCCACACAAACACAATAAGAATTCGAAGAGAAAAAAAGGTAAGGAGCGTAAAAAAAGGGAACAATAACGAAGAGATTGGTGTAAGGTAGTGTAGTAATAATAATAGTAATAACGAGGGAACGGAAAGGTACAATCAGAAGAAATCTTTTAGTCAAGGGAGACAAAGCCACTTTTTATGAAGAAAGTAAAAGAAGATTACAGCAGGATCGCCACTGGCTTCTATTCTGAATCGTATCTGATAACATCTCTAGCCACTGTGTAGCACCATCTCTCGGACCCTAACCAGGGTCAGTCAGTAGCAACGTAGAACTTCGTACGTACGTACATCAGTTCGAGTTGCCACACCACATTAGCACAGAGATGCAGTGACCCCAACCAGGGAGTCATGAAGGACCAACAGAAGCCAGTCCTTTGCAGCTTTCTTTCATGCCACGACACCATGTCATACACTGACCACCTCTCCGCTTTTTCCAACCAGTCCCAGAGTCGGCAAATAATACACTACGAGGAATTCTCTTGGACGACATTCGTAGAACATGTCCAAGCCACCGAAGTCGGTGTTTCAAGATGGTGACATCGATTGCATTATCGTCTCTGTGCCCAAACACACGATGCCGAACATCTGTATTACTAACATGGTGTTGCACTGGATGTCAGCAATTCTTCGGAGACAACGATGATCGAACACAGAGAGTCGTCTAACGTCTTCAACTCGGAGAGGCCAGGTTTCACAAGCATAGAGCAAAACTGCTCTCATCGACGCGTTGTAGATCCGACCTTTTACAGGCAGACTAACATCATGAAGGCGCCAAAGGTGGCCCAGATTGGCATAAACCGCTCTGGCTTTTACTATACGTGCATTGATCTCATCACTCACGCCACCACGAGCACTTATGCAGCTACCTAGATACACGAACTTCTCGACTACTTCTATCTGCTCACCATCCAGGGTGAGTACAGGATTGGAATCCTGCCAGTCTTGTAGAAGTACTTTGCACTTCGAAGGTGCAAAGCACATACCATACGTACGGACACTGATTGCCAACTGATTAAGTGCGGATTGCATGGCTTGGGCATTATCGCACAGTAAGACAATATCATCCGCATACTCAAGGTCGAGAAGTCTTTCTCCAGGCAACAGATCCACACCGCCATTATTTACATCCATCAGAGCTGTTTCCAGAATGTCGTCGATGGCAAAGTTAAAGAGGAATGGTGAGATTGGGCAACCCTGCCTAACCCCACTGCTCGAATGGAACAATGGAGAGAGGTGGTTGTATGCCCTCACTCTGCCTGAGATGTTTGTATATAGGGCTTTTAGGATGTTAATAAACTTCTCAGGCACACCCTTCTTCAATAGACAATCCCAGAGAACAGTCCTGTTCAACGAGCCGAAGGCAGCCCTGATGTCAAGAAACACTACGATTGTTGACCTTTGAAAAGTATGGCGGTGTTCTAACATTTGACGGAGGGTGAAGATATGATCAATACATCCTTGACCAGAACGAAAACCAGCATGCTCCTTGCGAGTCAATGTTTCTCGGGCTTTGAACAACCTACGAAGTATGACGGAAGCCAATAGCTTATACGCAATAGGAAGTAGACTTATCCGACGATAGTTGTTACAGGAACGACGTGAACCCTTTTTAAAGATAGGGACAACTATCGACTCATTCTATGACGTTGTTACACTTTCTAGCTCCCAAACCTTTGTAAACAACGTCGTCAGTCCCTTAGTCAGAAAGTCACCACCATCTCTGAAAAGGGCCAGAGGTAAGTCATCTGGGCCAGGTGATTTGTAACGCTTCAAGAGTTGGAGTTCCTTACGGACTTCCGCCTCATTTGGTGGATCAGTCGCCACCGGCCATGGAGGGCAGGACAGTCCAACCGATGCTGCCGGAGCAGCAGGCCAGTTGAACTGCCCTTCGAAAAATTCTGCCCATCGTCCAAGACGTCGATGGATATTAGTGATTGGCATCCCATCATCCTCGCAGATTGTTTCGCTCACACCAGACTTCTTGCTGCCAGTGGCTCGGATGAGTTGGAAGAGCTTCCGGTAATTACCAGATGCAGCTGCTGCTTTCAGCCCATTAGCACGCTCCGACCACCAGGCTTCTCGGTCCTGACGCAAGCTTTGCCCGATTTCCTGACGTAACATCCTTCGTTTGTGGCCAAACTCACGGTCACCCGGAGTAGACCGACGGGCTTCAATGAGTTGTAAGGAGCCTGAAGAAACCCAGTGCTTATAAGCGGGACGTTTATTTTATTTTATTTTTTATTATTATAAGCTTTATTCAATATTATATTTTTGATACAATATAGAATTCTCAGCACAAAGTATTTCAACAAGTTTTCTTTTCTTTCTTCCTGGTCGATCCTGACGATAAATATTGAGTGATCGCCAGTTAGATGTTAGCAGTTCAGTAAATGAACATCTGAATAATGTATATTCTTTTATCTGCATATTGCCAGCGACCACATTATCTCTTATTAGGCTTTTTGTAACTTGGACAACGAAAGGTTGTACACTTTTCAGAAATGCACCAGGATAGGTTATGCGATTAATAGACATAATGATGTATTAAAGCAAAAAAAAAATAGATAAGTTGTTTAAATATCTCGATGGCAGGAACAGGTAACCCAGATGCTCAAGCAGGCCGCCTAAGCGAACCCGCAAGCGGCCTTACTCGCCATTTTCATCGCATCTTGCGATTGCAACCAATGCTCGTCTATACTTTTCGGTGGAATGGTAGCTAGCTTAGAAACTAGCTCGGTTCGATACTTACTTGCAACAGAAGTTGCAACCAACTTACTGGCATCAAACCTTTGATGGTGGTCACTTCGTTGGCCACTAAAAAGTAAGGTAAGTTTGACGCAGACCAGGGCATGATCAGAGTTCAGATAGGTACTCCAAAAGGAGCGGCAGTCTTGTGCACAACCACGCCAGCGGTAGCTGACCGCGATGTGATCAATCTGAGTCCAGGCTTGAGTTGCAGAAGAAGGACAACAGGTGGCACATCGGCGATGACTGCCGAAAGTTGTTGCTAGCCAGAAACAGGTTGTGGTCTGTGCACAGTTGCAGTAGACGGTCCTCGTTATCAGTCCTGCTACCAACAAGTCCCCATCGGCCACCTAAACGACTCTTCTGTGCCTAGACATCCGACCTGAGCATTCGAATCTCCCGCTAGTACTACAATGTCTGTCGAACGCACTTTCTGGAGAAGAACAGATAACTGGTGGTAGAATTCATCCTTGATTGCATCCGGCCTGCAATCTGTCGGGGCATAGGCGGAGATGAAGAAAAGACATCGTTCCTCACGCCGATTTCTTCTCACTTTGATGGAACTTTCTAATCTAACAGCACATAACCGACCGTTAATGGGGATCCAATCGATTAGTGCTGCCTCAGCTCTAGCGCTTAGTGCGACACCAACACCAGCAAGACCAGATGAAGATGCCACAGGGTCCCCGAATAAGCGCACGTAAACACAAGCTTTTCGGAGCGACAGATGGAGAGCGAATTTGTAGTACTTCACCAGAGTCTTGAATACGGGTCTCAGATAGACGACAAACGTCGATATTAAGACTTTCTAACGATACAGCCAGCCCTATCTGTTGTCCAACCTGCATAAGTGTGCGAATGTTGAAGGCAGCCAGTTTGAATGGTGCACGTGGTTTCAGAAAAACTGCTTCAGTACTCATATTCAGTGGTAACATACAATTTTAATCCAGACAGTGACTCGAGAACGTTTAGATACAGTCGAATTTTTATCAAAGACGTGCCGCTGTATAGGTATAAAAGAGGGTGAATAATGTGGTTAATAATAATAATAATAATAATAATAATAATAATAATAATAATAATTTGATTGTTAGTTGAAGCAAGTAAAGTAGTTTCCAGAATTATAGGTAGTTCATCATATTTGTGTGTGGGCTGTGGTACTGCCCGGGTGCCCAGACCGAAGCAGGTGGTTATCTTAGGGGGCCACACCCCGAACCTTTGACCTAAAGGTCTAATCCACAAGGCAGTGGAGCTTCGTAAGTAGATGCAGTCCCATGGTAGCCGGTGACCAACGATTGGTTCATACGCCATTTGTTCCCTCAGGATACTGAAGCCCATGTGCACCATTGATTTGGAATCCGGTTAAAGCGCCGGACATTCGCTTTTCGTCCTCTCATTTTCGTAAACAACACCCCCGCCACGAGAAGGCAATGAGTAGGACTTCCCTGGCAGAGGCTGTATACGCATGGCCGTGTGAGAGTATTTCGAGAGGGAGAGCGAACTCTCACCACTCTCGACCGTACCAGGGCATTTGGGGGCACTTCCGTGATGTGTACTACCTATATAAACAGATGTAAGTGGTATGTATCAGGTATTGGAAGTAGAATACTTACTGAAGAGGAAAATGAAAAGAGGAGAACGGTAAACTGAGAGAAATCGAAATAACAACAGGAATGGAAGAACGATGAAGTTCGTAAGAGAAAGTCCATGAAAGATGTGCAAATAGTGTATTTGATGCATAGTTTACATATTTTACAAAATCACATTAATTTTGCACAATATAACTGGTTTCTCCTACCCAAGTCTTCGTTCATTACACTTCTATTGCCATGACATTTGTCTTGACAAGTTAGTCTCTTTGTGCTGATATGCTTTGACAATCTGAACCGGTACACATATGCTCTGCGTCCTCTGTTGCTTATGCCTGACTGACTGATACATATAAATTCACGTAGGTTAGTGTTAAATGATAGCGGTGATATCTGTATTCTGTCAGAAAGCATAATTTATTATTTACGGATTAATTGAGTGAACTGTAGTAAAATTTTCACCCAAACAAAGAGTTAACAAATCTAATCATTTATGGATTTGAGGTTCCACACTGTTTAACCCCAAGTTGAAACGAAATAACTGTAGCTCCTTGACTAATACCAATCAATAATAAAAACATCTTGGTGGCCTGCATTAGTGTTTTTACTCTGCAGTAGTCTTCCTAATTCTTAGTATTTTTAAGCAGAACATTGATGTAACTATCGAGTTTCGTTATTATTTATAATTGCTTACTGTTTTGTTCTGTCCTTATTTTTCTTCAGGATATCTTAAAAGAATGCGTTTTTGTGAATTTTTCGGTCGTTACTTTTGTTGTGTTTGTCATTCGAATACACTTATGACTCTTCCTGGTAATTTAGTGACCTGTTGGGATTTTCGTATGTTATCAGTCAGTAATTTTGCACGTGATCGACTTCGTCAGTTGCATAATCAACCTTTATTAAGAACAATCGATTTTAACAAACAAGTCTTAAACCGTCAGTCTAATCTTGTGAATTGTTTGACTTTACGTAAACAAGGGAATTTGATGTTACCATTTATTCAACAGTGTCAAACAGGTTGGTTGCTGTTTTAACTAGACAAAATAATTTTCGTTGTATATTTGTTCACTATCTTATATTATGTGATTACAATTTGACTTTGATGAAACACTTTCACAGGAAAAATGTAAAATCTATTAGGTAAAGCTGGTGACTATTTGAAAGTTTAATAATTTCGATCTTACTGTACATAATTATTACTCTTACCACCCTATCTATAACATAAAATAACATGTCCCATTAATAATAATAAGCTTTACAGTTATTGCATCACGAGGCAAAGTCTAACTTGAAATTCTGAAATCGGAAGTAAAAGATGCTAATTAATAAACACATTACGCCGAGAATAGGAAGCAAACATAAGAGGAATGTATTAACACTCGGAAACGACTGAAAAGGAGAATCCAGGACAAAGTTGGTTGGAGAATCCTGATCGACGCGTAAGTAAGTAATATTATTTTCTAAGTGAAAAGGTTTTGTAGAGATCGGTTCAATTTGTAGGTTGCATTCATCATCACAGATTGATCTCAGTAAGCGTACCATTGAAAAGCAGAGAACATTAAGATAGCAAGTAATGATTAATATTTTACTTTTATTTCTCTATTCGGTTTTAGCCCAGCAATTAGTCGACTTTACTTCTATACCAAGCCATTGGTTCGAAACACCAGATTTATGGAGTATGGCTGACTTACATTCTGTTCATGATGGAAAATTATCAATAACTTTACGTGCATTACTCTTACCATTAGTAGAGCATATATCAATATGTAAACGATGTTTAGCTTGTGGCTTTATTTGTGAAATATGTAAATCTGGTCAAATTCTTTTTCCATTCGGTCAAGTAAATACCGCAATATGTTCCGGTTGTTCAGCTTGTTTTCATCGTGCATGTTTACATTCCCCGAATCCGGAAACATGTCCAAGGTGTATTAGACGTGCAGTTAAACGGGAACAATTAATTTGAAAAGACGTTATTAGTTTTATTGGTTTACTTTTTGCTGATGCTTTTATCGTCACAATTACTACCCACTTGTCCCCCACCACCACCACCACACATGTACACCACTGACGACCTCATTATTCCACTTCATTTTATTATCTCAACATCAAAATAGATTAATAATCAATCTCTGCGTTTATCTTGTTGATTGCAGCTACTTATTTTTCATTACTGTAAATTTGATATGAAACTTGCCATAAAAATCAGTATTTTATTTTTGACGACATACTATTCATTTGAACAAAAACTGTTTTATTCTATGACTAACATTTTTAGTTATCAAATTTCTGTTAGTCTCTCTTTATTTTCTCTGTTCAGAAGTTTACTATTATTATTAATATCACTAATATTATTACAACTTTTCTACTGCAGTTTATTACGATACGTAATGCAAACAGTTTATCGCTATTTATTAATTGGTTGAAACATCGAAAAATTGGATAATGACTAAGCTGATTTTTCTCCTACTCTCATGTCTTTCTAATCGTTTTATAATCCACTTCACCCACGTGATATGGTATATTCGATTGTCTTGAAAAAAATCTTCAAACTAGATATTATCGACCTTCTTTAATATAATTCAAGTCTGTGTTGTTTTATCTCTATATAATTGGTGATGAACGGAAACATTATTTGTAAGATGTTAATTTCATGAATTTTGTGTGGGAATAATATAATTTATTTGCCAACTACAAGTCTATGTATTCAACTTTCATTATGAAAGCAAAGTTATAACATTTTGCCTGACTTCTGAAACTGATGTATTTAAGATGAGATTCCCATCTGCATTTTAGGACATGAAATTTGCGTGGTTTAAATAAGAAATTATCGCTTTATATGAGAGTGATACTTTCTCAAAGATAAACTGCTATCATACGAGAATTAATCACTAAAAATTAGTTTTTATTAATTTTATGTTTGGTTGATTATATCAAACTCCGCCTGTAGTTCTTCTAGGGCAACTACTGGTCCCCTGCCCGGATAGATTCGGAGAGATGTTGATGTGCTCGCGTCACGAAGAAGAAACTGCTCCACACGCTCAGGGGGTTGTTCTTATGTTATCCAAAGAAGCACGTAAAGTATTTATAGGATGTCATTCAGTCAGCTACAAAGTAGGACTAGGCAAATATATGCATCGGTCCAAGTTGTCATTCCGCGTTAGCACAACAAAATGAACACCGGATTCATAAAAGTAATTAATTCAGTGGTGGTAAGATATAAAAGAAAGATTGCATATAAGAACATAGTACAGGAAGAAAGATTTAGTACGTAGAAAGAAAGATACAAAGCGATTTTAATCTCTTAGTTTGAGGGAAGATAGAGAGTGTGTACACCTACGCCATTGTGATCGATTCTGAGCCATGTTTCCACGAGTCTCCAACCATTGGTTACGATAGTCACGCGAACCCCAACCAAGTAGTCTGCATCTACTAACATGGCTCAGACTAGAAGTTAGTGACTTCAAGCACTGATGCCACGTTTTGGTTTGACCGCCCTAACTTTCTTCCAACCATCCCCAACACCGGTTAGCATTGCACGTCGTGGTAATCGGTGTTCAGGCATACGTAACACGTGGCTCAACCATCTCAGTCGATGAAGATCCACAACCTCATCAACTGATTTACCATCATTACCTAATACCCTGTTTCTAACCTCACTATTACGTGTAGGATGGGAATCTCATGGATCCAGGATCATTAAAGCAGAGGAGGGAATCACCTGTCACCTACCAGTGAAAAGTTTTCAACAGAGTGTTGCTGAACCGGACGAAAGATTCAGTAGACGTCCGGCTTCGAGATCGACCGGTCGGATTCCGTAAGGATCGACGTTTGACATTCTTGATAGAACCTTCATTGATACTGTGGTGTGAATGGCTGGGGAAATTTTCAACATAATACGGAATTTTAACGATAGACTACGCTGCAGGTCGTGCGTGGAGGACGGTTGACAGGCGCATTCCGTGTGAAGACTAAAGTCAGACAAGGCTGCTTACTCTCACTTTCTCTTCTTGTGGTTGACTGGATCATAAAAAATACATCCACATGTGAGAGGAATCACGGAATCAACTAGACGATATGGACTTCACATATGACCTGTTTCTCCTATCACATACACACCAACGAATGCAGTTAAAGATAACCAATGTAGCAGCAGCCTATGAATCAGTAGGCATCAACATACACAAAGGAAAAGCAATGATTCTTAAACACATTACGGATAACATCAACCCAATCACACTTGATGGAGAAGCTCTGGAAGATGTGGAATCTTTCACTTACCTGGGAAGCATCATCGATGAACAAGGAGGATCGGATGCAGATGTAAAGGTGAGGGTTGGCGAAGCAAGGTCTGCACTCTTACAGTTGAAGAACATATAGTGAGTGGCCTATCACGGGAGTTAACAGGTGTAAGAAGTAAGTAATTCCGACTCACTAGTCCGAAGGTGATTTATTCAATGTGAGACCTGAAGTTGTGTTTTCTGGATTATATCAATCAGTCATACGCAATGTAGAATCTGGTACATAGGCTTCAATTGAAATTCACACAGTATGTCAGCACAATGAACAAGAGAAATCGCTTCTTAGAAAAAGTAGTTACAGTTATCAGTAGTTGTAGAAAGAATTAGGAATAGGAAACGTGTTCGTGGAATAAAAGAAGTTTAAGATAAGTGGTTCAATAATGTAGGCAGTGGTTGGGCATAAGTAATGCATGTCCGATTCGCCTCATTTAATGAAGATTTACATCTTTTCCAACCAATTGGCCTGGTACTCTTAATCTAACCTTAGCTTTATTCACTCAATAGTCCGGAGATACATGTGATATGTTTCGAAGATACTTGTGATCAAATACTAGTAATCTACAATCGTCTTGCATTCTTTATAATCAGGTTTTACATCCATAACATAGAACAGAGCAAAAAGCTACTCAGCAGACTTATCGTTTCGTTGACAGACGAATTTCTTCCCTACTTTACATGTAACGCAAGCTGGCATAGCCAACTGATTTTGTTAAACCCGTCCCAAGTTTTCGTTGAGTGCAAATCAACTGAGGCTGAAGAGATTTTTATAATAATTGTAGTCATCACACTAAACTACTTCTTTCTCTATCACTTATCATTCCTTGACGCGAACCAGTGCCGAATTAACATTTTGGATTTAGAGGGAGAATCGCACCCTAAACATCTTTGCATTTTTGTTTAAGGTAATCAAAAGACAGCACTTCATCAGCATTCTCATCTAATAGATTTATGTCATCGGCGTACTCCTAATCTACAAGCAAACCTCCTAGTGTAAAACGAGACGGTTGATAGGAAGAATGTACATTTCATGTGAGAAGTTACAAAATATGTACATATTACATATATATAGCTTTTAGCCTATTTACATATTTCGGTATGTTCTGCAGTTTGAACCGTCTTCTCATCTGGTTTTCACATGTTATGCTAATCCTGTACTTTCAATGTACTGAAACACTTCACTTCATCTGACAATAGTTGCAACATCGACCTCACGTTGCGTTATGTACTACTTACAAATAATCTAGTGAGCAGCGTCCAAAACAGTAGTAGGACATCAATGTCTAAAAAGTTGAACGTGAGCGTTATCTCTGAAACTCCATGTATAACAAACTTGAATAAGACTTAAAAAACACCACTGGAGGTTGGAAATTCTGATGACAATTGACAATAGGCTCTCATTTGACCAGATGTGTTCAGTCTTCGTAAAGTTGATATACATTTTGAGAAGCCTATTTATTAATAGATAATGTTATAAAACCTGTATGCCAGATGTATCAAATGTTATCTTAAAGACAAGAAATAACACTATGTTCGGGCGTTGGTACGTACTTTTGTATTTCACAATGTTATAAAGGGTAAATATTTCATCCGAACATCCACATCCAGGTCAGAAACTATCCTGGTTTCCTCGCGTTTTGCATTGATGTACCGTACTTAGTCGTCAGAAGATCATAATTTAATGAAATTGTTGACTAATGAACAAAACACAATCTATTTACGAGAAAATGATGGAGTATCAACTGGACTTCTTAATTTAACTGACTGTAATCACTAAAAAATTCAAATAAACAATGTCTTACACTACTAACAAATGTATGTAAGTAGTCATGGTTTTTTTATTGAAACTAATCAGTTATTCAATTTATCCTCTGTAGTCAGAATTCATTTATGTTCAATGGCCAATAAAAACGAATGTTATTGAGATTTGAGAAATTTGAATTCATAAGTCAAATCATGTAGAGATAATATACAAACATCAAGTACTAGATAGATTTTTTAAACATTTTCATTGTTAAGTCAGCATATGAAAGTAAACAGTATTCCCTTCCAGATGATCTAATTGGGGAAAGTATTATTAAAGCATGTGTTATTCCAATTTACAATAAAACGTTTTCTGATATGTTAAAGTCATTATTATTTAAAATAGATTTTAATTTCATTGAAATATACATTAATGACATTAGTTAATCTTATTACTTCGATTATCATTTAACACATTAAATTTACCTAAAGTTGATATGAATAGATTTTTACATAACTACTATATGAATTTGTCTACAAAATTTTCTCGTCCACCTTCTATATTTCATTTGCATACAAGTGAAGTTCTCAAAACAGTGATTTATCTAAAAAGCGGTTCTTTATTGAACAATTTAAATAAATTAGTTACAAATCTCTACTTGTGAGGCATCTGTAGCGTTGACCAGGTCTGGAAGTCTGAAATGAAATTAGGCTTCCTGTAATAACATAATGAATAATTAAAACATACGATAGTGCAAATGACAGCTGGTTGCTGTCTAAACTTGATAACAGTTTATCAACAAGCAAAAACGGAACCAAGAACAAACAATAAATAAGGGTTAAACGACTATACATAATTGAAAATAACTGCTAGAAGGATTGAGAGAAAGTGATTATAACGAAAAATACAATAAGTGCTATAAGTATTTGTAAATATTTTAGAATACTACACTAAAAACTTGTGCTACAACATAAGTTTAGAAATTACTAGGAATTCAGCTGTTTACTGAATAATTATAAGTAGTATGAAACAAGGCACAAAGGAGTTGGAGAGAAGTGGATAAGGTTTTGTGACCCTGAATCTGACTCCAATTCGATCGTATGTTGATCGCTACCGAAATAAACATTTCGCCAATCATCCTATATAATCATCGGATTGAATCGCGTTAGTGAATAACGGAGTCAAATTCGTGAATAAAATCCCAATGCGTATAATTCATACAATCGTTGATCTGAACAAACAATCAAGGAGACGGAGAGAAACAAAACTAAGTGACGTGCAGTGGAGAAAATAAGTGAGCCAACTCAATTTAGCCAAGCGTGAATCGGCATTTATAGTCGACCAAAAATAAGTTACGGACATGTGATGAATAGGATAAGAAGTGAACATACATCGCTTATATAAAAAACAGTCATAATTAATAATAATAATAATTGACACGGTCAAAATATGACTCAAGGCGAATGAATAAATTGGCTTGTCCGGAAGCTAGAATAAGCTATATGGGGTTAACATAGCAACCGACAATATAAAGGTTGTAGAACGCGAACAGAATTAACTGTTCCAAACATAATTCTAAAGAAAAAATTTAGGTATTTTTTTCGACACATCAACTTTTTATGGCCATGATTCAGTTTCACCATAAGTTTTAACTTGACATGTTATAGGGGGCTAATCAGTACAGTCCCCACCATGAACCAATGTCTCTAAAGACTTCATTTGTATCCAGTGTCGTTAGAATTTTAGTCTTCCAAGATTTCGTAGCGTACCTCGATTATTATTCTTCACAGGACCCTACCCAAGATATTTGGAACTTATGACGAGTAGATCACTAATCATATATTGGTACGAAACTCAGAAATCGTTTTTTCCAAACTTAATCATCTGAGAGTAAAATATGTCAATACACATCATACCCTATTATGCAAATTTTGAGTAGTGTTTCAGGAGACGAGACGATAGCCAGTTAATTTATTTAATCTGCTTCTTTACGTATTTTCAGCTGTACCTTTTTTCCTCCTTTGTCAAGATTCACAGTTAAACAATGTTCTAACTGCACACTTTGTTATAATCATTACTGTTTCTTAGTTTGTTACATTGTTTTATAGACTTAGTATTATATTCCAAACTTTTATATCGGTAATCACTCATGGATTTATAACTGTAGAGAGTTTGATGATATTGTTTAAATGATCATTCGCCGAAGGATTCTTCATTTCGAATAAATAATATTTCCAATCTATCATTTGACAACAAAAAAAATATTTTTATTTGAAAAATTGAAAAGTTAACACGATTACTTAATTCAAGTTTCATTTTGCCATTAATAACTTGTAAGTAGATTCTAAGCGATTGGAAACTTGTTACAATCAAGGTTAATTGCTAGAACAGTTTCAGGATATAGTGGTGAATAACTAACCTTTATTTAAATTTGTTTTGCTGATATACGGCATCCCTCTTTAACGCATTCCTTATTTTATGATTGTCTACAGTTGATTAGTCATTAAATGAAATTTGCTGTTGAGATGACTTGAATGACCTTGATATTGATTAGGATTAATCATCACTCTTCTGTTACTATTAGTTCCAATACATTAAACTGGTTGACCAATTAGACGTTCGATATGCATTGAATTGATTGGCTAGTTGGGTTAGAGCGAAAGCATTTGTTATTGTACCACTTCAAGATGGTCTCTTCTATGACTAACAAGCATCAAGAGCGTGTTACACACATGCAAGCACAGCAACAGCATACTTTTTTTATTAAGTTACCTTGATATACAAACTCGACGACCTCATATAGACTACGAAAATCAAAGCTGACGTAGACTTACACCACAAACCTGTTTGTAGTTAGTCTCAGGAAGTTTAGTGACTTCCATCAATGTACAATCAAGTTGGGTGCTTGTTCATCTTACAATGTTAAATGTTGATATTTTATGGAGGTCAGTCGGTAATATGAATGCGACGTCTATTAACAACTTTCATAATCTGACGTATGATATAGAAGGAACAGAAGCTGAAGAAACGATTAGTGGTGGGAGTTCAACAGGACAATTGCAAAATACTTTGAGCAATAATCTGAATCCTTGTTTGGCTAAAAAAAATCACGATGATAAAGAAAAAAGGCAACCAAACTATCGGCCAAGTTTAACAGAAGAGTTGAAACAAAACGTTACAACTGAGCTTGTGAATAAATCTAATGAGGGACAGTGGAATTTAATAAAAGTTCGTGTAGGTTTTGATGTTACACGTAAAGGTAGGTCCTACAGTTTTTTCACTTGTTATATGTTAAGTGTTATAACGTCAGATGTAATTTCACTAATAATGACTTGTATTTACAAAATACAAATATTGTTGCAGCTATCATGAACCGGCTTTTATTTACAGGGATTTGTATTTAATTATCCATTCACTTGTAATTTGGCCATTCAGACATTTGTCTGTAGTTCCAGTCTGAGGTATAAACTAGATGATCATAAAATGAAGTCGTTTAGTACTTACATATAGCTTTGATGAGGTAGTTGATATTTAAAATCTATTGGGCTAAATTGAAAATTCTATCACGACTTATTGATCAAGGATATTTGTTTACATAACTGTTCGCTAATTTATTCGACATTACTGTTAAATATTAGTTCATGGTCTAGTCGTTCACGTTTCATCCAGCTCATATATAGACTATAGTCTATTCAGTTTTAAGTTTGAGTTTAGATTATTATTTGAGGTGGCAAAGAAATTTATTCCGTAACATGAACTGTGTATTTGGATTCCTTGAGTGAAAGTTCTCATTACTTAAATATGTGTAACGTTCCTCTATTAGTTGAATTTTGTTTGATCTTTTGGTACATTTTTAGGAAAGCATGAAGGAAATTACACTTTATTTAATTGACTACACCCCATCTAATCAACATGAGAATATAAAAGACAAAAAGAAAACAGCTGATATCCCCCCCCAAAAAATGTAATTTAGTTAATATAATCTACAGATTAGGTAAACTATTGAATAGGCTATGAACTTTTACCCATGGTACAAACACATAGGTATAGGCTACTAAGTCTCGTATTATTCACTATGGTCAAAATGTAATTTGCAATTTTTGTATGCAAATCAAAGACTCTACGCACATCAATCAACATGGAAAATAACTTCACTTTTAATCGTGTTGATTTATACTATTTTAATTTATAGATTCGTTTTAATATTTCAAATATATAATACTCAGTATTAGTAAACTTATTTACTATATTCTTGAAATTCATCTATGTGATAAGGTTCAAATGGATCGACCATGAGATTCAAACTAAACATAATATTTCCCTATATAAGTGGGTATTATCAAGTTTCTAACGTACATCTCACATATATTTATACGGTTGATATTCTTCTATGACTACTATTCAATCACTTGACATTAATATTTAGTCAAAAATAAAAATAAACTTATTGCCCATTTATTAATTCTTAACAAAACGATTGATAATTCCTACCTACAGTGTCTACAAAAACAAGCACAAATGATAGCACAATTTGAATTATCTGAAGAACTTTATACATTTTAGACGTGTTGCTATAACAGCTGAAACGAAAATTGTTTGTTATTAAAATATATGAAGCAGTCACGTGGGAAAATATACCAATGATACATTCTTTTCTTAAATACAAATACTTAACTATATTAAATAAATACTGATGTTTATTTGGATTAAATTGATGTCGATTGTAGAAATGAAAGTGAGTCGTTTGAAAAGAATGTTGTTGTTTTTTTTACTTTAAACTAAGATGCAAACTACGAAAGAAACCTATTGAAACATTGTGGAAAAAGTCTCTTTGACAACGACATTTACTGAAGCTGTACAAACGTACTTCTAGTTATTTAACCTATAAAAGTTCATTATATATATTGAGTCATTCAAAAGTGTTTTGAAGTAATAAAATCTCGGATACTATTCGTAGTGAATTAAATGAACTAAATATCGAAATTTTCCTCTTCACAACATTCCTGATACCTTACCTGTATATTCATACTTTTGATATTAATCTTATGATTTAATTGATTGTTGATTTTACATCATTTTCTCAGGTGAAAGAAGTCTAGTTATCAATGGATATAAATTTACAAAATCAAGAGATGGTATGGGTGATCGTGTATTTTGGCGATGTTCTCGTCGTGAATGCAAAGCTACAGCAGTTACTGTTTCAAATAAAGTAGAGCATATACGATCGATTCATTCTCATTTGCCACCAGTAGCTGCAGAATTTTTTTCTGATGATTCTTCTCGTTGTGAACAAGAAGTACGATTTAACAATTTAGTCTATACTCAACGTTCTCGCATTCGTAGACGTAGCCAACCGAATCCTTCTATAAAACTATCAAAACAATCAGTAACGAAACCCTGTTTTCTTGAACAAATAAAAGAATTAGCCAGTCCAACTTCATGTTCTGTAACATCAAATGCAGTTTCGCATAAAAACTATTCTTCAAACCTAAGAAGTATGGATTGTCCAAATGATTTATGCATTGATTCAAGTGAATATGCATCTCCTATAAAGAAAAGACATTGTTCTGATCAAGACCTATCTGATTACTCAACTTTACAAACAATGTCTGCCCTTTTAACTAAATGGGTCGATTCGAAACAAGTGAATATAGGAAAAGACGAGGCAAAAGTAAATTGTTTTACTGTTTTTGAAATGTTCATTTTTCTAATTTAAGATAATCTTTCTAGTCAGAAACTTTTCTCAATTTTGCTTCCGAACATTGATGATATCTTGATGGAAATATATTCGTTTCTTACTGACTAAAACCATTTTAAAAGAAAAATTAAGAATAGTAACCATCATAGATCATACTGCTAACTAGTCTATTCGAATGAAAAATGTTTTCGAAATAGCCTATGAAAATCCTGGGGAGTTTTTTGCATTGGTTATCTATAGCATGTTTTATTACTGAAGAAATAGAGAATGTAAAAAAACAATCACACAGTAATCCAATTTTTTATGGTAGTTCTGTTGATAAAAATGGGAGCAAGAAAGAGACATCTTTTGTCTGTGAACTGGTAAAATATCCTACTAAATCATCTTTTTGTAACACCACTTCGATCGTTTTGAAAACACGTAGACAATTGGGACAAATGAACATCACTTTCCATTTGTGCATATTCACCGACTACCTTGACGTCCGATGAGGGCTGGTGCAAGAGTAGACTGAAGGAAAGCTGGGGGCGTCCAGACCAGTCTATGAATACGCTGACGTTTGGACTGATCCGTGTAGACAGGTGCAGACTACTTGGTCGGAGCCCACGCAATCATGTTAAACAATGGTTATAGACCTTGGATGGCAGGTATTCTCCATCTTTACTTTCCCTTGGGTCATAAGTTTTTAAATTCCTTAAAAAATTTTTTCAGCCCACTAACTTATATTTTTCTGAGTTGTATCTTGGTTGCTCAATCTTTCTTATTATCGTTAATACTGTCAGTACCTCAACTACTCTGGGTTTTGTCCTGACATTTTCATCTGTACGTGCTAATGGATGGTCGCAACTTGAACCACTGTACATATATGTACTAGTTTCTAAGTTATGAATGACTGACTGACTTTTGATTTGAATAAAATGAAGCCGCCTTATACCAATCAGACTGATTTATCAAGATATTAACTTTTTTAAATCTTGAACAAATACTATACCACATAAAATTGTCACCATAAAACAATGAACTGTAACTTTTAGTAATAAAAGTATTCAATATCCCTGTCTAAAAGTGTAGATGAAGTCAAAGAAAGTAATTATGTAACCATTGTCTATAACCGTTACCGACACAGGATATGGCAGCTTTGTTGAACTGCTAGTATCTTTTCCACATTTCCGCGATATCAGAGATCTATTGTGCATAAACCCTGTGTTTGACTTTTATGTTCTCGATTTCACCATTTTAAGGTAACTTTGAAGTATACACTAGATAATTATCTTTGTATAAAATTAGCGTTATCTTCATTATTTTACGATTTAATCCGTCATTTTACTGTAGTCCAATTATGGCAATGGTAAATAATGAAAATATTCTATCCTCAATCCATACTCATTTACAGAGATTCTCATTTATCATAAAAAAATTCAGTTTTGGCTTCATACTACAACTTACAAGATACTACACTTCTATAGAGGTAAATCGATAGCGATGTTTGTATCTCAAACACACCCCTTTTCTCATCAAATTCCAGTAATAGTATAATCTCTACAAAATATGATCAGTGTTACAAAACTGAGAACAGTTATCTGTTTAAAGACTATCATCATTCTCAAGTAGTAGTCCTTTTGTTAGTTCGTTTGAGGCTTCATGTTAATAGCACCATTAGTAAAAATCCACTTTTTTCTGGTTTCTGGAAAAGGAGGATCATCCCATAGAATAGATAACAAACAAGAGTCAGTCGCTTACATCCCTTATTATCATAAGAGCTTTTTCTTGTGGTTGATAAAAATACTTTAAATTTCTTGTTTAATGGAATCCAATTCCAAAACAAACTTGCAACTTTGAGCAATTACACACTTGGACCTTTATCATTTACAATTATAAGCATTATCATGAAGTCGTTCGTTCTGTGGCTGATAAGTAGTAGTCGTTTTCATCGAGTTGTATAGATTAATAATGACCAAACGAGAATTAAGTCACTAAGCTAACTACTTTCAATCACACTTATAAATGTTTCAGTCTTCACTATCATTCGAGAGAACTTTCATACTACTTTTTGAAACTGAAACTGGAAACAAAATATTTTTTATACAGTTTAAATTATAAATAAAGATTGGGTAGCACATCAGAAATCTACTGGTGATTGTAGATATTGTAAAAATTCATTTGTAAGATAATGATATTTAATGAGTTCACTATAAACGAATTATTCATATAAATAAGATATATCCCTTGACATTTTCTCATGTTTATTACAATAATACTAAAATGAAATTTGTAGGTAGCGATAACAAAAATGGAGTTGATGATACATATCAATAGATCCCAACTTAGTAGTTTAAATTTCTCATCACTGTGAAATCTAATGGTTTCGGATTGATATCGGTTTATTGTGGTCAGTGTTCGTTTATGAAATACCCTAGACTGACGTTAAACATCTGTTCCGCATCTGATGTCAGTTTGGGATGGAAACTAACTTTGAAACCTAAAAAGATCTTTAAAAATTATTTATCTAGAATTTTACGTTATATGATCAGTAAAAGCAGATAAATACAGATAACCCATCAATGAATGACTGTAGAAAAATAGAATATGGGTCATTCCTAACTATTTAAAAAAAGTTAGTAAGCATAGCTTCAATAAAATAGAAGTCAAATTATAAATTGTAATGAAGAAGTAAGGTACATTCGGATGTGAATTCAAGTAATTTCTTCTATTCAAGACAATCATAAATGTTGTATTATTATTTATTCACCGTGAAGTTTACATTACTTGGTTCAATATTTATGTTTGTATGAAAAGGTTGAGTTTGAAATTTATCCTAGAAGTTTGGTGGATTATGGTTGATTACTTCGTTCACTATGAGATCACTATTGTTCATGTTTAACAAAGTTAAAGCTTAGGATGACAATCGACCTAACTATTCTCTTTTCATTATGAGCTTTCTGACTACATTACTAAGTAACATCATTTCTTCCTTAGTTAACAATATAATACTTTGTATAAGCGTAGTTGTTATTTGACAAAATACTTCTTTGACCGTCACTTTGTCAGTTTTATATCTCCTAATAAATTATTTGCTTTATATGAAAACTGAACTCATTTGTCTAAAATACATTAATAATTAATAATTAATCAGTATAGTTTATTATTTATTAAATGACTCATAGTAAAATGTCGAAGCTCAAGCCATTTAATCTGTATGTGGTTTATTGTTTAACCGACCGCATGCAATTGACGTGAATATTAGTCTTATCTGATAGACAGCTGAGTATATGATATGGTAATAATAATAATAATAATAATAATAATAATAATAATAATAATAATAATAATAATAATACGTTTTGATCATATGGTATGATAATAGTACATTTTCGTCTTATGATGTTCAACTATCATTGATGTGGTGACTATTCTAGGAATGTATTAAATCACGAGTTAATAGTATCATAATTTCCTTGTTTATTTTGTTGAGTAATTTCCTCATATTTTCTCGAATTCAATTGGTTGTCAGCATTAGATTGAACTGAAACTATAAATAAACTGTTTGTGGTGAGATTTATTTTATTATAAAAAAATAATACCGAATGTTTCTCAGGAAATTATTGACAATTATGCTTATCGATCAAATCTAACATGTAACGGCTGATGATTTTCCCTTTTTGGCTGGAGTAAATAGCAGTACAAAATACTAAATTTAGAAGATGAAATTAGAAATTTCATCGAAATACCAGGCCAAGAATGTCTAGAATAACTATTGAGAACTTTGATTGCTTATATTTGAAACCATATATAACTCATTAAGTATGTGATATTACATATTTGTGAATATTATTCTGTGAATATCAACGTTTCCAGTGTTACATACAATATACATAGTATGAATATCATTCTTTGAGATCCACGTATGAAGTAGTTAATTTTAAATCAAATTTGATAGACCAAAATAGTTCTTCATAATTAATTTCTAATCCTTTAAAATTAAATACAGACCATCAGTGTATGTTAAAATGCATCAAATTACGTGTTAGCTTAAGAGTGTTCCCATAGGTCATTATCTTAATAACTCATCGGTTTTCAGAATAATTTACTCTCAAAATACCATTGCAAACATTCTTGTAATAACAGATCTATTGTTAGGGTTTTCCAGTTATCCAATTCTATGTAAGTTTTTGATTTATTTACGTAAAAATAACACAAGTACTTCAAACATATCATTCTTAGCGAAAAAAAACGTAACTTTTATAGGTATGAGTGGATGAAAAAGTTAGGTAAGATTTACAAACACTATTTATATAATGTCGGGAAAACAAATTAACTTCTTGTATACAGTTCAAAATGTTTCTTCTTTTCTACTTCCTCATTACTAGAAAATTCACCGAAAAAAACCATTACCGTTTCAAATGGTAGTTTCGTTATTCCATATACATTGCTTTTTGCATATTCCACTGTCACTGATACACAGATTGAGATCACCCAATCAGATATACTCCATGTAGACCCTGGAGCAAATATGTATCGATCCAAGTTGTCGAACGTTAGCTCACAACAACAAAAAAAGGAGATTTAGCGAGATTCAAATCAAAAGGATGAGAATCCGAACATCAAACTTAGTAAAAAAAATAATTATAAGATTTACATTTCAGAAGGAAAAATATAGATAGAGCAATACAACAATAAAATAGCAATAAGTCCAGAATTTAGAAGATAAGACATTAATCCAGATATGTTATTGTGCCCGATTTAGTGTTGTATCATCTAAGGTTTAAAAACAAAAGTGTGCACCTTTCGATATGGCCCACTCTAAAAGTTAATGACCATAAACTGATCTCATTACCTTCATTTGGACTTGTGACTAATGTATAAGCGTACCATTATACACTGTGAGAATGACATGACTAAACTAAAACCTAAAGATCATTTCTAATGTCATTCGATACAGAATAAAGCTTCACGACTATTCAATGATATCAATAATATATATGATAATCACGAAATGATTAACTTCAATTAATCACAGCTTTTCACTAGACGCTCTATCGCATCTAGTCAGTATCATGAAAACGTTTTTTTTGATCGGGAGTTATTTTATAATTTCAAATCGATCTAGTGTGTGACTGTGATTATTCATCGCCGAGAATAATTTCAGTGTAAAATAAATCACTTGTGTTCAGTGATTCCTGTTTTTCTAGCCGATATCATTTCGTGCTGGAAAAACTATCTTAAAGTAGGTATTATTTATTTCAATCAAATCTCGACTTGATTGTCTTCTTTTTACACTTTGTTTAGGAACATCTCTCTAATATTTCAAAATGTATTTTACCTCCAAAGAAATTGTCAAATAATATCTTGACTAGTGAAGAATACCAGTTATTCAATAGTAATTCAGTTTTAGGTGAGTATTCAAGAAGAAACCGTCATATATAAACATTGAAATGTTTTTCTTTTCATCAATATTTTTTATTTTATTACAATTAAATGATAAAGTTTAAATGGGTTGCATGTGTATATATACATATATACATTATATGTATAACCGCCGTTATTTAAATTCACTGTAAAAACTTTTACATGTCAGTGAATGTCGTTCGTTCAGTGCTTATCCATCTAAATTCAGATTGTTTTATTAAGATTTAGCATAACTCACTGGTAATGATTATCTTGACAAATTCTTATCAATCAGAAGATTGTGGAAAACTAGGAAGTAAGATCAGTTATTTTTTAAATAATACTGATTTAATAATGCCAATCACCTTCGAATTGCTTATTTATTACATTGAAATGTAATATAATCATCTGTTGCTATGTAAATATCTTATTTTCTGCAACTAATTATATGATATATTCCCAATGACTTATTTTAATAAAATAAAACAGTTATACATGTTATATAACAAAATATGTCAATAATGAATGTAATCAATATTGTACAGTTTGTTTCTTAGTTGTGAATGGATTTTATCATCCAGTGTAATAGTTTAAATACTATAATAAATGACTATGTTGCACAGTATTTGTTGTTTGAAGGCAGTTGATGTTAAGTGCCAGATTAAACGTTTGCGTTTATTTATTATCATCTTGAAGAAACTCTATGCTTCATAAAATGTTTTGATTTATATTACGAAACACCAAAATCATCAATGGTATTAATCGAACTCATGATATATATATAAGGTAAAATTTACTTCAACTCACTGGTAAATCAGTCAATGGTCCCAGATTTTTAAGTATTACCTTCAATTCTCGAACATGATAAATTACATAATCACACTTTACATATTGTTCATCAAAACATGTTATAAATAAATAGTTAGAACACCCGGTTATCTCTATTTTGTCAACGATAAATTTATTGCTACCTATTAAATTTATGAGAATATGTTTGATATGAAATTCACTTTTATCATATGATAGCAAAAAAAACTAAAATTATTCGCTTTATACATTAAATTTCCTAATTTCTTATGTTATATTATCAATTTGAATAAGTATTTGTTTACTTTACTTAAACGGGTTTTTTTAAAAAGAAAATAGACTTTCATCCGACAACTGACATGAATATTCCATGACTTTTCATGAATTCTCAAACTTTGAGCTAAAACTACGTCTAAAAAATATGGTTACAGGTACATTAGAAATGTGACCAGCTGTAGAATTCAGGACAACCATTTCGTTTTATTTCGGACACGTTACCTAGATGTATATTTATCCTTTGATTAATGTTCTCAGTGAAACTCGAACCCAGTGCTTATCGCTTCAAACATTGACGCATTATCTACTGATCTAATAAATCCAAGTGGCTACTAGCTTGTCTAGTCTGTATGAATTTATATGTAAGGGTTTGAATTTTATCTTTGTTAATACTAGGGATTATAACTGTTTGAATGCGAACATCAATACTAAGATCCAGATACATCCAACTAATGAATTCAAAGTAGTACGGAAAGTGTCTCTTAGAACCTACTACTAGCTAAGATCCAAACGTACCTATAACTCGCAAACAAATACAAAATTCTCTCAAGAAGCATATAATGTCAATATAGACCATTCAATTAAAATATTTAATATCAACAACATGAAAGCTCAATCCTTTATGGATATTTTAATTTTGTTTTGGGAGCTTTGAAAAACAAACATCTATTCGGATTCAATTTACAACAATGTTTGTTTAAGGTATTTTACGTTAATTTCCCTGTTTTGTTGAATTTTTTAAAAAAACTTATAGATGTAAATAATTCTTCGAATGGTTATGAGGATTCCTTGTCAAAAGTATCAAAATCAGAAAGTTTCAAAAAATTAACTACCCTGGTCACTTCATCGAACAATATTTATAATCATAGTTCAGAAAATGATTTAACAGGAATAAATAAAACTTCACAGATCATCACACGGAACGGTACTACTGCTGATGAAGACGATAGTAATCGAGACTTTATAAATGATAATTCACAAAGAAATTCCATAATTAATAATATGTCAAAAACTCAGCAATCTGATATAAGTTCACCTTCAATAGACGTCGGTTCCCTTGAACACAACTGTCAACGTCAAATTATTCTCCTTAATAACGAACAATTGAATGAATTACTAAAAATAATAAAGTAAGAATGCAGACATCTTATATGTTTATTATGGTTTTCATTCAAGTCAGTTATCAATTTCAAATCGGCTACCGAAGATAATAAAGATAAATTAGTTTCATCTTAGATATTTTGTAGCATAACGCTTAAAGGTTTTCTATTCTAGTTGGATTTATTATTTCAGTTACACCATAAATAACATATCACATGACAATTTACGATAGTGTGTAACTAACATTACTTTTGTGATTAGTTCTTAAATGAAGTCATTTGAAGTATGTTTACATACTTTCATCACCATAGACTATCTGTTCTTTAGAATAGTTGAGCATTAAAATCGGTTAAAAAGTATGAATTGATATTTTAGAGAAACGTTCAGCTGGCCTTCAGCTACTCTACAACTACCCTCCATTCTCAGACAGTGTGAACGGGACATTCAAGTAGGTCCCCCAACTCTAGCTGAAGTTCACAAGGCTATAGTTAATATGAAACGAGGAAGGGCAGCTGGTCCAGATGGATTGGCTTCAGAGGCCTTTAAGGATGGTGGTCCAATTACAGTGATTAGCTCGACTAATATTTTAGCTAAAATCTGGGAGTTGGACGTAATTCCATCTGACTGGCCACAATCACTGATCGTCCCAATATATAAGAGAGGGTCAAAATCATCCTGCGACAACCATAGAGGGATTATTTTAACAAATATAGTATCTAAAATACTAGCCTCGATAATTATCGGACGCCTAACTAAAACTCGTGAACTACAAACACGAGAAAACCAAGCTGGCTTCAGATCTGGTCGTGGCTGCATCGACCACATATTCACCATTCCTCAGGTTCTAGAACACAGGCATACTTATCGGCGTGCAACAATGGTGGTCTTTCTTGACTTAAAAGCAGCATCTGTCTTGGTAGACCGCGAGATTCTGTGGCAGTGTCTGTCATTGAAAGGCGTACCTCAGAAGTACATAAACCTTGTGAAGGCTCTTTACTCGAACACTACTAGTAGAGTGAGAGCTTATGGCGAACTGTCATCTGGTTTTGCAACCTGAAGTGGTGTTCGTCAAGGCTGTCCACTTTCTCCATTTTTGTTTAACTTCATCATAGACCTGCTGATGGAAACAACATTCTCGTCTACTGAATTGTCGGGTATTGATCTCCTTCCAGCAGGTCCACTTATCGACTTAGAATACGCAGATGATATAGTCCTGTTTGGGGAAGACGCTGATAAAATGCAGAGTCTTCTGGCAGCACTAAGCAACAGTGCCAGAATGTTTGGAATGCGCTTCTCTCCCTCTAAATGCAAGTTATTGCTTCAGGACTGGTCTGCGTCCACACCTGAACTAAGGATATGGAGTGAAGTAGTTGAACGCGTTGCAACTTCACTTATCTTGGAAGTCTGGTCAGGTCTAATGGGTTGGTGTCTGACGAAATCTCAGTACGTATTCGAAAAGCTTGTTTGGTTCTTGCCAACTAACGTCACCTATGGCGAAGGCGAGATATCCGTCTATCAATAAAAGGACGAGTATACTGCTCGGCAGTCCGTTCTGTTTTACTTTATGGCAGCGAAACATGGCCACTAAGAGTGGAAGATACCCGTTAGCTACTAGTATTTGACCAAAGATGCTTTAGAAATATCGCTGGCATCTGCTGGGATCATCGGGTATGTAATAGTGAGGTTAGAAACAGGGTTTTACGGAATGATGGTAAATGAGTTGATGAGGTTGTGAATCTTCATCGACTGAGATGGTTGGTCCTGAACACCGATTACCACGACGTGCAATGCTAACCGGTGTTCGGGATGGTTGGAAGAAAGTTAGGGCGGTCAAACCAAAACGTGGCATCAGTGCTTGAAGTCACTAACTTGTGGTCAGTGCCATGTTGGTAGATGCAGACTACTTGGTTGGGGTCCGCATGACTATCATAACCAATGGTTGAAAACTCTTGGTGATATGGCTCAGAATCGATCACAATGGCGTAGGTGTATACATTCTCTATCTTCCCTTAAACTAAGAGATTAAAATCGCTTCTTATCTTTCTTTCTACGAACTAAATCTTTCTTCCTGTACTATATCCTTATTGCAATCTTTCTTTTATATATTACCACCTCTGAATTAACTACTTTTATGAATCCGGTGTTCATTTTGTTGTGCTAATTCGGAATGACAACTTGGAGCGATGCATATATGTGCCTAGTCCTAAGTTGCAGCTGACTAACTGATGAATTGATATAGTTCTGTTGTTTTAATCAAAGTCTGTATTCAATGCCTTTTCTGTACACATATATTTTTTGACAATTTTTTTTCTTATCAATTAAGTATAATCACTGTTGAGAGAAGTGCATAATTCCCGTAACACCTTGTTTGTAGTATTTGTTCACATCGATAATTTGATTGAGGTGTTACTTCTGAAATGCCGTCGAGTAAAATTAGATAAAACCTATTTCCTAAATAAGATAGATGAAGAGAAATTTCTTTCGAAACAGCAAACCTGTGAATTTAATTCATTTTTGTATTGATGTTTGAATCTTCCCATTGATGTTTAAGAATGCAATTTATCAGTCTCCTGTTAGCAAATGTACATCTTGTGTGAACTGCTTCGATTATTGGTTTAAGTTAGAAGCATTATAAGCAGAGATGAATAAATTTGTTGTTTTTAAAAATTAGTTGGTGTGTATCCTGATGAGAATAATCTAATGGAAAAGCTTATCAGAATGTTTGCTGCTTCTGATAAAATATGAGTCAGTATATTTTAAAATGCGATCATTTATGTACATATTTTTAAAGCGGAAGAATGTATTTGCAAAACCTCAGCGAATGAATTAAAAGTAGATCCAACGTTTCGCCTGGCAATCTGGTCCAAGCTTTTTCAAGGAAATATAATCAAACATAAAAATTATTGCAAATACCTACTTTAAACATTGTTAACGTTGATTGGATGACCTGGAGATTTATGTACCTATTTGCATTCTTCCTCTTTTATGTCTCATATCAACTCGGCGCCCAAATACTGTGAAACTATTCAATTAAATTTAAGCGAAAGTTCTTATATATGTTTAAAGCGTTTCTCTTCCAGTCGAAGTATTCCTACTATCCGTAGAAAATTAAAACATAGATAAACCTAAACAGGGTAGGGCATATTATACACTAGTTTATATTGTTTCACAAGTAAAATAGAATACTAAAATGTTTAATTGTAATACCGAAAGCAGCATGGAAATTCAATTTAAAAAAATAGACTAAGGAGATTTGTGAAACCAAGAGTTGAATAATAATATACAGTACTAATACTATCTCAATAACGAATGAATATATCTGAAATATAAAACTTTATAGCACTTGTATTACAGTTTTAAGTTATCGAAAATGTTTTCCGATTTATGATCACCCAATACAGACAGATATCAACTTAATACACGGTATCACAGTACACTCCTTGAAGTTTCAAAGCTCCCCAACAGCATAGAATAAATTAAACAACAAATGGATAGATAAAGAGCAAACAGTCTATCAGAATAGCATGAATTCATTTTTATTTTGTTGGTTCTCTTCAGTTGCTTACAACCGGTGATATTTAAAATCGTAATTACAGAATGTGTTTAAATTACTTACATGAGAGGGTTTAGTTGGGAGTTATATTGAAGACATATCAGTTTGAACCGTTGTCACAATCAATGTTGTAGAATGTTCTTTTACATAAGGTATATATTTACAATATTCAGTCTGGTAAATTTACTTACACCATTGCTACACTACACTATTATTTCTTCAATATAACTCCCAACTAAACCCTCTCATGTAAGTAATTTAAACACATTCTGTAATTACGATTTTAAATATCACAGGTTGTAAGCAGCTGACAAGAACCAACGAAATAAAAATGAATTTATGCTATTCTGCTAGAATGTTTGTTCTTGCTCTTTTCAAAATGATAAAGGGAACTATGTGTATGAAATGGATATATAATAAAATAAACGGAAAGAACGTGGCTCAGAATAAAAAAAAATAGCTAATAAATATTTTTTAAGGTTGAAAATCAAATACGTAGTGAATGGATTTGAGTCGTTAGAATTAATTTCCATTCACTAATGTTTAGTATACCAACGTGCTCAACCAACAAAGTTAAACCGACATACAGCTTCCAAAATCATTGGCTAATTTCATGAAACGGTATAATATCTTGGTTTATTCAACCTTAAATTGTATTCTAACCCAATCTTACCTTAGCAAACATAGCATAATAGAGTAAATAAACACTTCAAATACACTGCCAATTATCTCTTATCTAAGATTAACATATAGACGAATACCTAAGTTGAGATAAAATCTAGTAAAATTACTTACGAATTTCAAATCACGCTAATGAATAATAATAATAATAACTATATATGTCTTTCTGTCTTCTGAAAGTTACAGTCGAATCAACAATACGCCAATCCAAAGTGAATCTATGAATTCACCTTCTTCACAAACATCAAGTTTAGTCAATGACAATTTACTTAATTCTATTGGGTTGTTCACAGCATCCGATCCTAATTTAACTGGAGGTTTAGCACAGTGCACTACTACTTATTGCTGTTCATATTACCCAAGACTTAACAGTAGAGTTGTGAATCGCAACAATGATTGTTGTCTACCATCATTTCATCATATTTCCAGTTCTACAAACCTAAATTCAAATCCAATTGTATATTCTTCTTTCAACAATTGTTCGAATAATTTGTTCAATAAAATGTCCAAATCAGTGGCAGTCAGTGAGAGTAATATTGATGGCTGTGGTAAGTTCCGTACAACAAACAATTTCCTAATAGACGAGTGACTGAACACGTCAAAAGGCGATTTTTTACTCTTGAGATTTCATCACTCATTCAGTCCGAATAGTTAGTGGCATTCTGTTTTGAAAATATCTTTGATGACTGAGTTCTTAAAGTAAGGCTTATTAATACGTGGTTTGATACATTCTGGACGGACTGTAGAAACGGCCACTGTTGGCATAGACTATCATATTTCAGCAATTAAATTACAAAGCTGGATTGACTATAGAAGCTGCAAGGTATCTTTGAAAGTAATTAGCAATATTATGGATGTCCTGAATACTTGATTCAACTTTCTTTAACAGTAAAATAGTTCACAATTAACAAGGTTCTCACTGATCTCTATTACATTTACTTTGTGTATAATCCCTTATCAAGTGTTTATCTCATTCATATAAGAAATCAACCTGACGACAGCATAATGTTCCTACTTCGTACTTTTCAATAAAAAGGCGACTCATTGACACTTCACTATCTTGGGATACTGTTAAACATGGAGAGCATGCAAAATCCCTATTTATATTCGTAATGTTTGAAACCAGATTATGAGTTTGGGTTTGTTGGGAAATCGATATGTTACCTTTTTACAATTTATGCTACCTTAATGTTTCCGTAAACATCCTGTAATTTCTACTATACATTCTAAATATACAAACTCACTAGACAGTAACTATAGTTACCTGGCTATGACCTTGTGCTCTAATAGTATTTTTAGATTAGTAATCGTCTGTTAACATTTTTTTCATTTGTCTTTGTGATAAAAATAGTGCACATGTGTAAGTCGCATGTTTCCTTCCCCTTTACCCAAACTGTTCAAAATAACAGTTTTACTATTATGTATGTGTAGATGATGGGAGAACGTGGGCGAACATTGGCGAGTCACTTACGCATATCTCAACTGGCTTTGTTTCTTATTTTCGTGCTTACTAGTTTAAATACAATAATATGACTCATCTCTTCACTATTGTCTACTTTTATCTCCATACCCTGTCTCACCCATCCTGCAGTTTGTATGTTTAATGTGCTTCATATAAAAACATAGGACTTTAGTAGTTTAATGAGACTACTAATGTGATATTTCCTTTTTTTGAAAAAAAAAACGCTTATTTCAGATTGTATATGTGACCAGTTGAATTTACATAGAATTATTTTTGGATGATAAACAAATCATAAGTCTATTTCTTTGGTTTGAGTCATGCACCTGAATTTAAAGACATGTTGAAGATAGGTAGCCGTTATTTCACTTAATTATCAAGCCTATCTGACAAAGACCCATCATGAGTGGATGTACATATGTGAGAGACAGGAGCATCTTTGAATTCTGTCAGGTTGAAATACCACTGTTTTTTTTTATTTTATACACAAGGACTAGCGATTTCTATGTTGGATTTATGGTGAAATTTCTGGGAAGTCTTCATTTATGTTTTACTTATGATGACGTAGACAATACTTAAGAATACTCGTATATTCATAATATAGTTGGATTATCATGCATTAAAAAGTAACAATTAGGAAATTTGTCATTACTGCTATTTCAAAGGCGTTGTTTTACTACACGATGAGAATCACGAATCCATCGTCGATCTAGAGTTACTAAATAATTTTGGGTGAAATAAATGTGGTTATGCCTAAGTTTCAAGGATATTGAGACTCTCAGTCAAACTTTCAATTCTGATTATTACATCTGTAGTAATGGGTTCAATACTTAACTAAAATAACTATTATTTATTGATATTATTTATTCAAGCCAACCATATTTCACAAGAATTGTCTTTAATTGTTGTTAAATTGATATGCATAGTACACTAGGTAAGTTACATGACGTTTCATATCACGGCAAGTCAGTAGGTGAGTTATTCATCAAACCGAAAACCATGACTCATGTTCCCTTCATGGGATCAGTTGGGTTAAATATAGATGCATGAGATGTTTAAACACTTTATTCGGAATCCAGTTTTTTCTATCGAACAGGACAGCGCACAGTAGTGTGTCAGTACTATAACAAAAAATGCCATTCTAAACATTTGAATGGCTACTTATTCTTTTCTATCTGTAAATGTGCTTGTCTATAAATTTGTGCAAAGTTGCGGAAGTTAGACTGCTTTTTTTGTTTTTTTCTTATTTTCAAACATCTTAAACAATGTATTAAGACACTCTACCGTCTATCTCTATTGAATTCACTTCAATTAACTTTCAATAAAATATGTTAGGCCAGCACTTTATTTTATTTCCAATCGGATATAAACAGTGATAAGATTTTCGGGAAGTTTATACATAATGTCAATTTGGTTTGCTACATAAAAGTACTATTTTCCTATTGTTTTCTTTTTCAAAATGGGATTCATGGTCAATCAAAAGACACTCATGTAAATGGTCACAAATCATCATCTCCGAATTTTCTAATTCATTGGAAAAAGGAGAAAATACGTGAATCTGTTGAAGAAGATGGAGTCAATTCGTTGAATGGATTCTATGATAATAATAATAATAATGAAACATTTTCACATCAACTTTATCAAGATAAAGATCATAATAATACGTTGGAAATGGTAGATAATCAACAAACATCAGTTAATAATACTCCTATGACGAATTGTTCATCACAATTACTTTCTCATGGTTAGTACAACTTTAATTACATTAATAATAATAATAATACTAATCTTATATTAAATTTTTCGTAAGTCAGATGTAACATTTTGTTCATTGATATTTAATACAGCAGGTTTGTATTATCTTAATCACAAGTGTTAGAAGAAAATCATTTTTTGGGCAAGTGAATTTGATGATACTCTGTACATAAATCAGGTCAAGAAGCGAGTATCGTCTACAATATATTATAAATTCTAAAATTTTAATGACAATACAGATCATCAGATGATCAGTCAGTCAGTCTTAAACAATTTAAAACCTGGCTAAAATGTATGTATTCTTACGTTGTCGCACTTCATCCAACCATAACCAAACAGAAACCTTACAAGATCAAAAAAGGCTGGAACTTGTTATATCAATGCTAGTAGAAAACTAAGCATAAGAAGTATACACTAGGAAAGAAAGAAATTAACCTGAGAAATGGAAAGTGTATAATCACACTAGTCAATCAGTATTAAGCAACGTGGAATCTGGCACATACTTTTATCAGTTTAAACTGTTACCGAATCAGTGCAACAAAGCGGGGTTGTCAAGATAAATGCCAAAATAGTAAAAATATTAGCAGTATCAGCATTAGTAGAAAACATTAAGCACAGGCAATATGATTATGAAGGAATGAATTTTCAGAGCAGAACTTACGGGTATTTAAAGAGTAAAAATGAATCATCTGCTCTATTGTGACTGATTCTGAGTTGTGCTATTCGATGTCTTTGACCATTGGTTACGATAATTGATAGGAACCCAACCAAGGAATATGCACCTACCTATATTGCTCAACCCGACAATCAGTCACTTCATCGACCGATTCTATGTCTTGACTTGGCTACCTCTGGTGTAACAAAATTAAACCGATGGTTTAGAAGAATGAATGCAATTGTGTTATTGAAGTCGATTTTGAGCCATATCATTTAAAGCTTTTGACTGAAGATTACGATTATCTCGTTTACTTAAATCAGGAAGTCTAAACTCTTCAACATAACCTGGTAACTGCCTGACGTTTTACTGATTATAATTACGTATTATAATTTTCCCATTCATGTTGTGTGTTAAACTATTTGACAATCGTGCCCAGCCCAAAATGTATTATGTCACTAATTCCCTAACTCATATGTGGTCATTTATTCTACTTGGTTCGATTAGCCCTTACAATTCAATCTTATTAATGTTAAATAATTTCATGATCTTATTCAAATAACTTATGTTTATATGAAACTTAATGATTCCAGATACACATTATGCATTTTAAAAATCTATCCCAATCACAACTTCGCTAATCAGTTTAGTTAGAATAGAATATAGAAGAGTGATTTGGTCATATCATACTGTTGGTACATAGTTTAGATTTATCCACCAATTGATGCATAAAATTTATTTCTAGACAAATGTTGAGAACTTTAACTCTCAATTAAGTAGTGTAAATATTGCTTTGGATGGTAGCTACGATATGCCAAGCTTGTCATCAAAATAAATACGTAGTACCAACAATACAGAGTACTTCTAAATAGTGGAAAATATTTCTAGTTCAAGAGGATAATTTCGTTGAAAACACTTTTTCAGTTGAACGATTAAACCATTTGGTTCAAAAAATGTTATTGTAACAAAAATGGTTTGTTTCATTTTATTTAATCGGATATAATTGTTTATAAAGTTCTACCATAGACTTCGAATGTTATCTAGCTTGGTAACTACTGATATGTACCCAATAGTTGAACAAATGGACCATATAAATAGTTTTTATTGTTGGGATCAAACATGTTGAGGATAAGAAGTTATTTGATAACATTTACTGGATTGATAGTAAATATATTTTTGTTATATTCCATTGAGTAGAAAAATTGTATTTCTGACATTTTATATCTTGATGTAGGCCACTTCTTCAGCGTAAACAAATAACCGAATTAAATTAACACAAGTTTAAATAGTACACAGGCAACAATGCACTTATTACACCTTGATTGAGGCTTAAAAGAGCCCAAGAAATATGAAGATGAAAATTTTCTGCTTGTTCAAATTGAAGTTAAATATAAAAACTAAAAAAATACTAGAGCTACTCATCTCGATCTAACTTGGCGATATATTATACCTGACGTAAAAATAATAAAATCAGCAGTTAATTTCTCAATTACAAGTTGGTAAGAGTAGGTTTTAAATATTTCTCATAGTTTCTTGTACAACATAAATTAGATAGTGAAAAGCCTATAAGATCAGAAAGCTACTGACTAGTAGTGTCAAAATCATACAATTTGAATAATCTAAAGTTAACTGGGAAGAGGAGCTCAGCTAGCTAACTTTTGTTAGTGTATTAACTTTTTGGGTTAAAGAAATACCGTTGAAAAAACCAGGAGAGATTTATAAAATCGTGAATAAATGTTGTATTGTTGTAGCGTTTTGCAGAAAGGCTTGATTTACGGCATGTATTCACTACATTAAATCTTCCTTCCTTTACAAGTATTCTTATATTTTCTGTCAGTATGTTGTTCTAAATCTTTTATAGATAAATTTTCATAACTTTATTTATGAGAATCTAACAAAATATTTTGGAGTTTGCTCTTATTATATATATATATATATATATATATATATATATATATATATATATATATATATATATATATATATATATATATATATATATATATATATATATATATATATATATTGAGCGCATAACTGTTAGGAGATAGGTTCAGATTCTGCTCTGCTAACTTCAGCTAAGTCATTTGATTAACAACTAATCTATCCGAAGATAATCAAGTATCACTTAAAACCGGTTACATGAATTCATATTTTGTTATTGATTTGTGTCATTATGTCAGTGAAAGCTTCACAACTAAGATATCCAGTTCAAAGAACGAAAATCTACCAAAAAATACAAATCTTCAGTACTTCATGTTTTATAATGAATACAAAATCTCCAATATCTAAAGCGTTGATTCTTTTACCTTTTTAATTAATTATCACAATTTTGCTTAAAAGGGTATAATAATTTATTACACCGACGAATTTCACTGACTCGAATAATTAGGCGAGTTATCAGTATGAGTTCGTGGAGATTGTTGTATTTTACTGAGGCTACAAACCTACTTAAGTTAATCAACCTTTGAGAGCCTGGGAGTCCTGGATGGCCATTTAGTTACAGTGTATAGATCCTCATTAGTACTTACCCACGTCCCTACAACCGGAAATCGGACCCAGAACCAACGGTCTCGAGTGCGAACGCTTAACTTCTAAACCAGTGAGCAGGAATCCAACGTTGCAAATGGATCCTTGCTCAGTAGTGTAGAGTTTAAGAGTTCATGAAGGAAACCGAAGATAATTTTTGTCTCCGATCGCGGAATCATGGATAAGCACTGCTAAGGAGTCCCTTACTAGAACGAAACGGTTGTCCAGTGTTTCTATATTTTCAATAGTTGTCTCAGATCAATTCCTGGTGTCATGATAATTATGGTAGTACTTACAAATTAAAATTCATACGATAATATCCTACTATTGGTGTAATAAACTTAGCTGACATTGTCTTTCTAATAAATGAAACTTTTGTCAATGCTTAATTTTAAATGTATATTAGGACACCGTCATACTATAGAGTCGGGCATAAGATATACTAAGAGTTTATAACATCAAAAGATAGAGATTCTATAGACGAATATCGATAATCATTAAATATAATTGGATGGTATCTTGTTATAACAAAACAATTTCAAACAATGCGAAAGTACCCAACCAAACATAGTTATTAGAGCTAAAGGTCTTGTACTTATTAAATAACAATTAGATTACAATTAACAAATTCAGGATTCATTTTTTCTGAATGAATCATCTACAGTATGACTATGTTTTCACAATATTAACTACTGCTCAGTGCTTTGCACTGACAAAGTTGCAATACGTAAGGCGAATGGCGTAGTCAATTTTTTAATTAAGACTTTGCAACGAATGCTTAGACGCTGACTCATAACTGTGATATCTATGATATCTACGATATATATATATATATATATATATATATATATATATATATATATATATATATCACGTGGTGTTTATATTTCAGACCAGTTTTTACGTACTTTGATGTTTATTGACTTTTTTATAATTGTCTATTTCAATCGCAAATGGTTCTCCACGTCAAATAGTCTTAGAGAAAACTGTAGCATCATCTCTTTATATGTAAAAGTATTTATATGCACGCTCACATGTCTGCATATTCGATCGTAAGGTACTTTCTATAAAAAATGCTTTACAATTTTGTAGCTTATCTTACTAATTGATGCCATCTTAATTAGCCATATTTTCGCTAAAAAATATATCCCATTTAGACGCTTAGACAACAAGAATTAAGCAAGACAGTGAATTATCATTAATATATTAAGGGACAGATGTGGGTTGGCTCAAATTGCTACACTACATTAACATGACTTTGACTTGATGAATATCAAAAGAGATCAGAGTAATGTAGTAGCAATGACAATGAGGAAGACTAATCGTTGAGAATGAGGTTCAAAATGGCAGTGGTACTGTATATATAAAGGAATTCTGGAATTCAAGATCTATGGTAAAATAAACAGTGAATGAATGTGAGTCATTATGAGCGATTCTTAACCTAAAGATCCCAACCACTAATCGCGTATGCTGCATGGACCCCAACCAAGTGGTTTGTACCTGCTAGAACTGTTTAGACTAACAGTCACTGACTTCATGGACTGATATCATATCTTGGTTTAATAACGAAATAGATTTTCATCACAACACTTGACTAATATATACAATTACGGTTGCTGATAAATTGACAACCATGGTAGTAAATTACCTAACGTTTGGTAGTTGAAAGTAGTTGCCACCAAACCCTGAACTAAGGTCTCGTGCTAGGTGGAACTCAACGATAACTTATACTTATAGTCAAAGACTACCACTAACATATTCAGGCCATGAATAAAAGCTTATAAGTCTGAGATTGTCATGTTTTGGAGAAGCTGCTGATTTTTTAGGTATCCTTACCAAAGTTTGATTTGATAATTTCGAATAAATTGAGCATTGGGTTGATTGTTATAAATAAAAATAATATATTTGTAATATCCCGATGAGTAGAAAATTAGGTTTTTTGACGTTTCTTCAGAGAATAAATAACCAAATTAAAATTAATCCAAGTTTAAATAGTTCCGTTGTACTATTTAAACTTTGTCAGTTGGTAATCGAACTAAAATAACTCTAGTTCATTTAAACTGTATGTTCCTCTCGCTACTACTCGTTCAGTATATTCAAGCACAAACCTAGATCACATGATAACTCACCTTACACAACCCTTTAACATTGAGGATTAACTATTAATATACTTTGTGGTGGTGTTACATATGTACATTCGATCTAACCTCAGCTAACTAATTTTGATTTGGCTATTTATTCTCTGAAGAATTGGCTTACATTGAGTTACAAAACGTCAAAATATCTCATTTTTCTACACATTGGTATATTACAAATACATTAATTTATTTATAATAATCTACCCAATACTCAGCTTATTCGAAATTATCAAGTCAAACCTTGGTAATGATATCTATTCAGTTAAAATGGTTGGTCATTTCACCTTACCATACATTTTATGAATGTTAATCCTTTAGAATATTTTGAATTCGATGACAATTTCCATAATCTAACTAACTCTCTTATCATCTTACTTCTTTTGGATTATGAATTTTATTGATCATTTGAATTCCTGAAAAGTATCATCGATTATTAATTTTTTTTAAAGGTTAAGTATCAAAAGTGTGAGAAAAAAGAAATCCCTAAAATCCATTTTAAAAAAAATATCTCTAGTGAAGGAGAATATAGGTTAGGACAACCGGATTGAAATTGCTACAAATTACAGAGTTACTTGGTAAAATGGAAAAAACCATATAATGAATTGTTAATTTGCAAAATAATAATGCATCATATCAACCTGGACAGTTCCTCTTGCAAACATCAATCCATTGTCTCACATTTCATTGTTCATACGTTTTCTTACAAATTGCATTGTGTTGTCGCTCTTCCTTTCTTGATCTTCTCACATCTTCTGCTGCCAAACATTACGTTTTTAACTCGCGTCATATACTACTTACATCGACATAAGTAGCACGCACTACATATCTACTTTAAATTTCTATACTATTTTCATGATTAAATATTTATCAAAATTTCCTTATCATTATATCTTTTAAAATAGGTAAGAGTTTTATGCAAAATATTTGCTCATTCAATTAAAATGCATAATGAAATGTGACGAACGTAATGACAATCAAATTAATAATAATAATAATAATAATAATAATAATAATAATAATAATAATAATAATAATAATAATAATAATAATGGTAATGATAATAATAATGATCGTACTGATTTTTCTGTTCGACTTAATTGTTGTAAGAAATAAGAAGAAAAAAAGTGAACTTGTTACTGTGACTCATTATTATGTCAAATAAGAGGTAATAATATGCATTTAACGTTTATAAAAAATGTAAATAAATAGAAGAAGCCTATGATTTAATGTACACATATTGATAGTTTCTGATATATTTCAATCCCTAGATGTTTATTTATATATTCATAGATCTTTAGTTATAAATTTATTATTATGGGAATATAATTTGTGTAATGCCATAAATTACAAACAAACAAAAAATTATTGTTATCTGTCAAAATTTTATCATTAATTGTCTTTAACTTAAATAAGACATACCTTACAAAATATTTCTATAAGACAATATAAAATATCGGTATAAATATTATGGCGCCTATGATGAAAAAAAAATTTGAGCTATCTATTCAATTCATATTATTGCTATAATTAACACTTTGGTATTAAAAAAAAAGTGATAATAATGCATTGAATTATTCAATAGACATTAACATAATTAACATTATTTTATGCATTCGGCATTGTTGACATGAAATATAATTTCTTTCTATAAATAAGTTTAAATTTTTAATAGATGCCAATGTACTTTAATCATTAAAATATTAATGTTTTACTATAATATATTTTGAATTTTCTTAGTCTATATAGTAATTCATTTTATTAGTGTTTAATATTTGCTTATACACATGGATGACAAGTAATTCTAGTTCAGTTGTGCTCTCATATGATAGATAATGGTACAAATGATGTTGTCCAGAAAAACAATGAAATCTTCATAATGAAGTTATTTAGCTTAAAGAATATAACACCATCAACAGCATACACCTGAACTGTAAATCAATTTCATCATAATAAATAGTTGTATCATTTTATTGAGTTTACTACTATGATACAAATTCAGAACCATAAAAAACACCAATTTGCAGTATAGGGTTTTAGAGATTGTTGAGTTTTAATTATGATCGTGAACCGATCAATGTAAGACCACCATTGAAAATCTAGAAGCACTAGATGGCCGTTTCGTCCTAGTTTGGGACTCCTCAGAAGTGTGCGTCTATTTGTATTTATATTTTACAATACAGAATTCAGTACAATAATATATTTTTACGGTTATGTTTTCTATCTGTCTATTTTTCAATAATAAAGAAATTGAAATGTTCAGCTAATTCATGACGAAATAAGTACATACTTTTAAATTATAAATTTCTACAGAGGATTATGGGTCACGTTACTGTTTGTTTATATTAATGATTTCCTTCTTATTTTTAAATTTATACTATTCGTCTAATTGAAATACTTGCTATGAGGAACACTCTATAACAGTTGTATGTAATTTGTTTAAAATTAGGTCGTGATGACTGTAGTGAAAAATTGTAAATTAATTTAAATAGGATACATATAAACCAAATAAATCTCCATTCATCTAAATGTTTAATGTTTTTATCATGAATATTAAATTGCCTGGATTCGATTTATTATAAATTAATAAATCTGTATTTATACTATTGAAAAAGCGTAAACTATATTAAGGCAATTTATCCAGTAGTCATTTTCAATAATTCTTTACCTCGTGTCATTTTAAAATGCATAATGTATGATAAATAAACACTAAGTAAACGTGTATGTGTTTATAATAGGCAGATAAGTTTAGTAAGGATCATGTTTAACATCATACAGGTTATTAAAATGGACTTAAGATAACAAAGATTACTGAATAGTAGGAGTATCAGTATGACGTCATATATATAAAAACAGTGAATGATGTTGACTGTAAGAAATAAATTTAACAAACTTAGTTTGATCGAGATTCTTCTAAATTTTAAGGGTCTTCATGGAATGCTTCCATATGCATTAGGATGAATCTTTTTGTTACTTCTTTGCATTTAAAAATAAATAAATAAAACATATAAACTTAAATGATTTCATAAATCTACTACGAAAGTAGATTGATTTGAGTTCATTTTCGAAATTGAAGGTGATGTGGAAACGATCGTGTTATTTTCTGGCACCAGTGAATAATGACGTATTGTTTTATTTAACCAACGCTCAATAAACTGTTTTAACAGTTGTGATCTGAACGCTAACTTTCAATTAATAACGGTTTGTAATTTTCTCCCATGATAAGAGAGAGGAAATTCCATCCATCACTAACTACGCTTAATTAAGGATAGAAAACGTTGTCTGTCATATAAACTATTATTGTTTAATTACAACATTAGTGATCAAATTCAATTTAACGATAAACTATGATCAGTGAAAATTGTATCCTCTCAAACAAAAGCCATGTGTCACATAGGTAAGTAAATTGAGCACTCTTTATGTAACTAGTAGATTGGGCGGATTCAGACATATCACACGGCTGTGTTGATATGCCATCTCAGTTCCGAATGGTAAGTGAAAAATGATAAACAATGCAATCTATTAGATCATGTTGATCATATAATTCAGGTTTTTTTTTAGCTTATATGTTTTTTTCTAGGTCAGAGGGACAGATATGTGAATCCCGATCATTCGAGTACACTTTAGTTGATTTTTCAACCATAGTTTCTTAATTATTCTGTCTTACCACTTACAGGAAGCGTGTTTTGTGATCAAGAACGCATGTGGAGACTACCAATGTATTTCAATATTAAATTACAGAATATCTTCGTAAAATATAAGAACCATTCACTGAATACTTTATTTGCGAATTTCCATCATTTGTTCTCAACATTCTGTATGATTCTTCAAGTTCACAATTTTTTTCTATTTCCATTTATATTCTCTTCAACTCGAACTTCTTAAGCTTCTGCTGCCAGGTTTTCTACTTCCGGTTGGTGTTATAGAATATTTATATCTGTCGATTAAGTAACACGCCGCATGTGTATCTGGATCTGAATACACAAACACGGAACTTTAGCAGTAACTTAAAGTACTCAGTTTAAATTAAACAGCTACATTACTTTTCATCTAACTTTATTTATCATCCCCAATGGGTACTTTGGTTCAATTTTTATTCGATGTTCACTTCAACTTCCTACAAATAAGCGAATTATTGATGGTATTTTTTTTACTATTTATCAAAACAAAAATGATTCTTTTATGTTGCTTTGTGTTTATTTTGAAAATTTAGGTATGAATAATAAATTTTCCAGTTACAATACATTCAGTTCAAATTCAAGGACTACAAATACTACTAATAGTTATGATAGCAGTAGCAATAGTAGCGCACGTGAATTAATTCAAAGTCAATCTGAAATTACCATTCAGTCATCAGACGATGACCACTTTTTATATAATCAAATCCAAGATAGTATTCTCATGAAAATACTTAATACAGTACAACAGTTAACCGCTAAACTTGATGCAGATGCTGATCCCCCTGAAGTAATTCAAAATTGTCGAGCTATTCAAGCTTGCCTAGATACAATTACTGCTATAAAAAGAGCCAAATCAAATCAGTTCTTTATTGATAAACTAGATGAAACACGTTCAACTAATACACTTGAAGAGTCAAATGACAATATACAACCCAGTGAATTCACCTCTAAGAATCAAGAAAATTTCCAACTGTTTTCGCCTAATTTCATCCAATCATAATCGTTCTTCTGCTTGTTGCCGTTGCTGTTATTCAGAAGTATTAATAGTTGTAATACTCATAACAAACAGTAATTCTTTTGCTAACCGGGTTAATTTTTCTATAGAAACAGAAAAAAAGATTCCGTTTTTTTTTAACACAAAAGTAAATAATACCACACTTCTAAAGGAATTAAGGTTATTTTCGTAGTTATTTTTCTGTGGAAGGTTTTTTCTATGCTTTATTACTTTTATGATTCTGTGCATTACTTGGATATATTAGCTATTATTCACACTATTCGCAATTCATATTCAATCTTTGAGTTCTTCCAATAAAATAGTTTTTATGTTATGTTGTATCAGTCATTAAAATTAAAAAAAAAAGTCAGATATCATAATTCATTTTTAGCCGCATTTCATATAATTACAAGATTTTAGTATTTTATTCCTTAAGGAGTATGTCAATACATTGAACACTGAATGATTTTAAATCAATAGATACTTCATTCATCTTTACCAGTTCCGATTTTTTTCTCTCTGTTATTACGTATTCTTGATGTGTACAACATAAATATTATACTATTTTTTACAGTTTTCTGCATCATAATTTCATATTTGTATTTTAATGAATAATTTTTTTTCTTGAAATCGTGTTACATACAAGTTACATACTGACAAGTAAATCTTTAAACATAACTTTCCTCATAGTAAAATTCATCGAAAATACAAAAAAATGATCCGATATTAGTCTTAGTACATCAATCAGAATGCTTAGTTATTAAGCAGAAGTCAATCGACGAAGTTTTGCAGTTAAGACAAAAAAGCCTGCACCATCATCATACGAAAATTATTCAGATCACTACAGTTTTTACGTCTCCGTCTAGTTCAATCCAAAAGAACTGAAAACAACTAGTCATAGTGTGAATAATACAAACTTGTATGAAGGTGGTGTGACGAATTTCACTGAAATAAGAGATATTGATCTACTGAGTTGGTGGTCATCAATGATTAGATTTACCTTTCATTGATTTCTGGTATTCGGAAGGTTTCAGTGTACAATCTGTCAAGACATTACTAGCTAAACATTTGTTAACCCGTTATTTTATAGTCTTTACTTTTGACAAGAATTTGAACATTAATTCGAAATATCCTCGTAGTAATCAGAGCGTCAAAGTCAATGATGCCATGCATTTCAAACTATGTAAGACCAAATGACGATGTATGAATAACTCAGAAGTGAATAATTATTCAGTGCTAATAAACAAAGATACATTTACACCGTTAATGCTATTCAAATGTATCTGAAAGAGAGCATATATACGACAGAAATAATTGAACAAAAGAATAAATACTAAATAGTTTATTCTCTATTATTACTCCATAATTCGACAGAAAAATCTATGACTTTATTAATTTCATAAACAAACATATAACTGGCCAATTTTACAACTTATCATTTTGTTTGAATTTATGAACTAATCTATCCGCTGTTCCAACAATACGTTTTTCACTGATAGACGTTAAGAACTCATTTTATTCGCATGTGATGATTTGAAGCCACTAGTTGTGAAATTAAGATACTTTTAATTATGTATGTAATGCAATTCTCATCGGGTGAATTGCATTTAGGTGTTTATCTATCAAAGAATCGATGCGAACATATTTTGTACACCACAGTACACATAATTTGAAATATCAAGGTACAGTTCATACCCAGTAGACTATGTTGAAATAGATCAGATGAATTCTTGATATATCAGAGAAATCCATTAGAAGGATTATTAAGTTCACTATTACACTCACAACCACTAGAAGTTCAGTAGGCATTATGAACAAAGTATGTGTTAACTTATTGGTGTTTTATAGGAGTGAATTAAAGGTTATTATTTGAATAATCTCGAAGTACTTGATTAACGAGTTGATATTTAGTCAAACTAATTTCATTGTGATTGGGTAGACGGGTAGCATTTCATTGTATTACCTTATTGCTATCGTATTTTACTTGGACTCCATTTCTAATGAATTCAGACATAAATGAACCTTATTATTTGAACAATCCTTTCCGTTGTAATTGAGTCAAAAAATATCCTGTTCATAAAGACCTATCCTAAATCATTCACTACAATCGTTCATTTGATCATACCTCAGTAACATCTAATTTCTTATCGCCATCAGTAATCTGAATCAGTAGTTTGTCTTTCATATCCCATTCTCCAATGATTAATCGGACAGGTATATTGGAAGCTTAAGTCGCAATAAAAAATTGGCTAATTGAGACTATACCTCGGTTATTTTATAAATAAAGAGTAATCAGTTTACAATCATCACACTTAAGGATGAATTTCCCGGCTAGTTGTTCTGTAATGAACGAGAACACAAGTGAGGACAATCGAATGTAATTAAATACAAAATCACAGAACGTCTTAGTAAAATGTGAGAACCATAGAGTAAATACTTCATTTGCAAAATATCAGTCAACCGTCCCAGAATCGTTTCCACACCAATCATCCTGTTCTCATTCTCTTTTCTTTGATCTTAACCGTCTGCCACCAAGCATTTCACTTCCGATTGATGATATATACTACTTATATCAGCCGACATCAGTAGCACACACCAGTTCCATTAAATTCAAAGATCTTGAGTTATTGGAAATCAGGTAGAGATAAGTGCGATAGACCATGCTGTATTTTCACATACATGTAAGCTCTACTAACTAACCTCTTCATATTTTCGGTAGTTGATTTTTGAAATATGAAGAGGATTTTTGATAAACATAACTTCATCATAATTAGGTAGTTCATATGAAATAGTCCAGCTGAGTTTGCTTCCCAACTTCAGAATGTCACTTATATCATATTCAGGAAATACAGAATTGAAATAAATATTAGTCTGCATAAATTGCGCATCACAATTATAAGATGGTATATTTCGTGATGCATCCCTATAACAACCTTGTGGAATTCGATCATAGAAATATTTATTTAATTGTGGCATGATGCTCCAGATTAAAAGAGTCACCTATGAGGATAAGGTGTCCTCAAACTATGAATATCTTCAGCAAATGCAGCATCACTTGCCCTTCGGTTACGCTCGTTTCCACCAAGAGGCCATCAAACACGGTCTGATTAAAAATGTACTAACCCGCCAAAAAATGCGGAGTAAATTGTGAGATCGTATTAACCTCATCACCTCAACAGGTTTTCTTTACTGAAAACAAAACAAGGCCCTGAACGTAAGATTTTTGATTATTAATTGGAGCTAGATTATAAAAACTGAAGTACAGTTCGGGACTTAATGTTTGAGCAAATGCTGAAGAAGTGATAACTCTCAAAAATATTATGGGCTATTTATTATTCATACCTTTATTCCATAATTACTAAGTAAATGCACTACCATGTTTCTACATTACGTTTATTGATCCTTCTTGTTTCTCTAACGTCTCATTATTTCTAGTTGATTGCTTATCTGCTTGCCCGGTCTAACTAACCATTCACAAATCTTAAATACAGAATAAATACTAAATATTTCAAATCAGTAACCTTAATTTTCCGCAAACATGTGAGTTGAATGTATTATCGGTTTATAAAACGATTTAGTTGCAGGAAAACGTGAATACAAAACAGATTTACGACTGGTGGAGCACAGGGGGATAATTTTGGTGGAGTTTTGTTCTCTGAGCTGGATGGTTTGGTCGTGGAGCTTTCATCGTTCTTCTGAACCACATCAGCACAAACTTCAAATAGAAGTGAAGTGTTTGAATTTCTCTATATGTGTTTCAAAGCTTGTTCTGTGCACCTCGATGTTGATTGGTTCTTGTTGACCTTAAATTTATCATTGTTTACTTCTTTGTTTTGGTTGTGTCTTTCATTGGTTTGATTTTCGTTCCTATATTTATGCATGATTTTTCTGATTGGTTGATAAATTGGATTGATTTCAATATGTTTGTTGATTGCTGATTGACCTGAGTGCCAGGCTTATAAAAATTCTCTGGTATTTTTGGAGTTTCCTCTGTCTAAGATTTCTACATTTTCCCAATCGAATGAGTGTCCATAGTTATCCACGTGTATTGATATAAGTGAAGAGATATCATGGCGTTTGACTGCTAATTGATGTTCATGTAAGCGTAGATGGAGGGGGCGTCCGCTTTGCCCGATGTAGTGTTTGTCGCAGTTGGTACAATTTATTTTGTAGATGATGTTTGATTTGTTTTCCTTTGTTATTTCATCCTTTGGTTTGCATAGGATTGATTGTAGTGATTTTGTTGGTTTGTGTGCCACACCTATCCCGAAGTTTTTCAGCAGTCTCGTTGCGGTTTCTGATATTCCTTTTATGTACGGTAGGGTGGTCCTTTTGTTGATTTTTGTGCTTGACTTGGGTTCTGATGCTGTGTGCCGTTGGTGCTTTTCGATGAAGTTGATTGGGTAGCCGTTCTTTTGAAATATGTCCTTCAGGTGTTTCCCTTCATTTTTTCGTGCTGCCAATGTGCTGCAGTGTGTCCTCGCCCTCTTGAACAATGTGTGTACGCAGTTGATTTTGTGAACTCTGGGGTTGTTGTTGTTGTAGTTGAGAATTTGATCTGTATGGGTCGGTTTCCTATATACTTGAGTTCCCAGTTTTCATGAGTCAGTTCTAGTGATCAATATATCCAAGAATGCTAGTTGGTTGTTTGACTCTTGTTCCATTGTGAACTTGATATCATTGAAAACGTTGTTGGATAATCTCAAGGATTATTCAAATAATAAACTTGGAAATATTTTTTTATAAGTAACTCCATTTGAAAAAATCACTAAAAGCCAAAGAGCTTTGAATTACTATCAAATTCTAATTCAGGACTTCTCATCAATGACTACTAATGAATTCACATGTGATTGGACCAAAGACTAGACAAACACCTCCGTAAAAAATAACTCCTGGTAAATAATTGAAAGAATAATTCATAGACTACTATTAACTAGTTAGTAACATAAATTAGAAAGTAGGCAAATATTATTTTAACTGCGTATGAAGTATTATCCAATGCAATTAATTTCGAGTGTAATGATGACATTATTGATATCTCACAGGTTGAAATCATGAGTCAGTTGAAGCTA